CATCCCACCAATTTTCCTAGGCTCTGAACATAAGAAAGGGAGCAGAAGGCTTAGGAAGGGAATCATTAGTACTGAGAGCAAGGGGGAGGGGGAGAAAAGAGCAGCAAGTGGAAAACTGCCTGAGGTAGTCCCAGTTGAAATTTACTCCTGGTCGTGGCTGCACATCAGCTAAAAGCTCTCTGTTTGAGGTGTCCTTCCTGGCATGTCTGTTGGGTTAGAATAAAATCATAGAGTTGTAGAATATCTGCTCCCAATATTTTACAAGGCATAGGAGTGAGAGATGGTTTGTACTAAATGTATGGAAGTGCATACTTGTTTTTAGATACAAACAGTAATTGTTCTGGAAGTGTTAATAGCAGCATGATGTTATCTCCTACTTACTTTACTCAGGAAGAAAACTGTACATGCATCAGAGGCTCAGAGTATAGCAGCAAGGACAAAATAATTCATGCTATGTGTTGTGGTAAAGATACCCTATCTTTTAAATTATCTTCTCAGGAAACAGCAAGTTGAAGCCTTTACAGTGTAGAAAATCCTTCTTCACCCACTTAAATTTGCTATCTGTTAAAATCAATCTCTCTAGGGTAAGAAGTGTGTTAATTGTGAAAGGCAATCATGATTGCATGATAGCATTCAATATTTTTGTCCAATTCTGGCTAATGTTAGCTGTTTTGATTTACTAGACTGATATCTAATCAGACAGGACATCAGTGTCTTCTCTTTCAGGAGAATGAGGTTTTCCTTAGCCTGGATGATGGTGTTATATTTCAGATTAAAAGATGAAATGGAGAGATTTCATATGCACAACAATTCCCACTTCTCTGGAAGCTAGAGAGGATTCATTTGCTCCATTTTAGAAGTGGTATTACTAGTTATTTGTGACATATCTATCAGTTTTTTTGTTATTGCTTTGGACTTAGGGTCATATGTAATCAACTTTTTTTGCCATGTACTAGTTATCTCTTTTTGTTTTCATTGTTTCCATGTAACTGCCTTAACATAATTGTCTACTTAGTGTTTTGTACCAATTTCCCATCTTGGGTTTTCTGGTCAGTTGCACAAGAATTTGCAGACATTTGATCATGTGAGGACATTTGTCTAGAAATTCTAGAGAAAGTTTTAACTTCTTGATTATTATTATCTTGATTATTAAGCTTCAGGCAGCTTTTCACATTAAAAGTTATCAAGTATCAAGAAATAAAATTCGGTGAATAAATCAACAGTTTGCAAAATTGTTTTTCTGATGATGTTTGGATGGTTTCTTAAGGTAAAACGACCTGTTTCAGATGAAGATCAGAGACCTTGATTCTTTGAATTTTATTCGTATTTTATTTTTACTGAAAAAGCTAATAAGAACAGTGGTAATTGAGATTGCTTTCTATCACAAGACTGTTTTTAATCACTTATGGCTTTTCTGGAATTATAGCACTGAGGTGAAATTTTGCAATGAGAAAGATTTTGGAATTTCAATATTCTATTGCTAGCATTGGGCTAGGAGGAATCTCAGCTGCTGTGATGACTGGCACAGTGAGATCCTGCGAGGATTTCTTTGATTGTCAAATGAGAGAGTGAAAGTTACTTGTGTAATTACAGTGTTGGCACTAAAGCACATTGACATATAATAGTATATTACAGAAATTGTAGAACATATGACTAAATGGGACCCTAAAACTTACTTTGTCTCTTTGGTTGACTGAAGGCCTTATCAGCTGTGTGCATTGTTCTTGACAGATGCTTACACATCTTGTTATCTCAGATAAACAAAATTTTCAGTAACTAGCATTCCACAATTGCCCTCAGCAACCTGTTCTACTGTGCTTGCTCAGAGATAGTAGTTCCAGATGTTCAAGACAAACTTTCTGTTACAGCCATTTCAAGCCTTCTCTTCCTTATCCTAACTATGATGATACGGAAAAGAATTTATTCTTTTCATCTCTGTGGCTATGTTTTACAGTGTAGTGTGTACCCATCTTCCCATGGCAAATTCTTTATTACTGCCTTTTTATCCTTTGTTCTTACTTATTACTTACTTCTTACTCCCCTCCCCACTCCAATTAAAGGGAAAATATTTTTAAACGAATCTTCAAGAGTGATTCAATTATGCTTATTAATTTGGTTACTTTTCCTTAATTTTGATGTGATTCTCTTGTAGTCTGAAGAGTATCCAACAATGTGTCCTTTATTCAAAAATAATTTCTCTGTCCCTTGTAGAAGTAAGACTGTCACTGTTTTTGGTGATGACAAGGTGCTTTCCAACATAAAACCAAAATATGCCTGGTATTTTAGTTTTCATATGCCAAAACAGTTATATGAAATATTTTATCAAATTTCACTGGATGATATGACAGGCTATTAAGTTTACTGTACATTTATTGTAATTCATTTTAATACATTGCTACTTTGATTTTTTTAAAAAATTCTGTATCTTGGTGAGATATGAGTTTGCTTGTCATCACTGGTAATTGTTTTGTCTCCAGCACAAGAACTAGCATAGAGTTTTTTGTAAGACTTCTTCCTAGCTTGCTGCTTTTTCAGTGGAAACTGTTTTCTCGTAAGGAAGTCTTCAGAAATCCTATGACAGCAGTTCTAGATAGAAAGCCTATTCCCCAAGGCTGTTATTGAAAATCCCCAGTAGTATTCTTGAAAGTCCACAGTACAATATATAAAAGGATTATTACCATTTTAATGCCCAACCTGATTTGGACCACAAACTGAAGCAAGCAGTTGTACGATCATGTACAATCTCAGTGTCATGGTGAAATTTGTCACTGAAGAAAAATTACATATATTTTCCTCTGAAAACAGATAAGTTAACTTCTTTGTATCATTGAATTTAATATATTGGGTCACATCTGCTAAAGGATTATTGCACTAGAAGAAAGCAATGGATAATTTATTAAAATACCCCTGCAGGGAGATAGCAGGCTATCTGGTTAATATAGAGGAATGCTTGATGCTTACACTGAAAGCTCCCTGGTGAATCCTTTGACACAGGAATAGAATGGGAGTTGGAAATGTTTGCTCATTATATAATGTTTACTGTGTTATATTGGTGCCTAGAAGATGAATAATATTTATGTTAACAACTCCTTTCCAGCTTTTTATATTGATCTCCTGCTGTTCTAGGGCTGATATATAATTGTACTGAAAATAGGAAGATAGTAATTCTTTTTCTGTAATGGAGGGTATTAAATAGGTTCTTCGAACACATCACCCGAGTTGGACATGAAGATATTGTATCTTTGTGCCACAGACGTGTAAGATTTGAATTTACTTTTTTCATTTACTTTTTTTTTCTGAGCTGTTTCTCAGTACTTGTAAACTTAAATGAACTGCAGAGAGTGTCACAATGGGAGGGCAGTGGGAGTTTCTTGATTGGTGGGAGAGCTTCTTTCCTTTGCCTCAAAGGAGCTTCACTGTTGCCATGCTGACAGAGTTTGAGGTTTGAGAAGGACCAAATAACTCTGTCTTTCTATGCATGCTGAAAGCTAAAAAGCTGAGACATACCTGTTGTGTCTCACTGAAATACAGCTCCTGTGCAGCTGGCTGACCTTAAATATATTTGTTCATGCGAACTCACATTTTAATTGCAGTTTATGTTACTTAGAGAACAGAAACTAAACCAAGTGTTTAGTGGCAATATCCTATTGGAAGCTCCCCTGATACTATACCCAGAGGAACTGACATGCCTCAGTTTTCTTGCTAACAGCAAAGGACAGTTTCACATGGCAGCTAAGAGCAAAATGAACCTAAAAGATCCTCAGGGTTACTTGCTTTCATTGGTTCCTTAGGGTGATGTTTCTGTGTTCTTCCACTCCTGCTGTGAAGCAAGCCAAGCCTTAGAAATAGCAATGATTTCTTGAAAAATTGAGCTGGCATATTTTTTAAAAAGAAAAAAAAAATAGCAAACACAAAACCCAACAAACCTTTTTCATGTTATGGGTTGTTATTTTCAGGCCCAATGACATTATGTGAGAAACTTCTCACCACACCTGTCAGTCACTGTGGACTGAAGGTTTGGAGTGGAGGGATCCTTGCACTTGAAATAAGAGCTGTTCATGTGAATTTTACTGGATTCAGGGGATGTGAACACTTGGAAGATAGCCAGTGCTGTGTGCTTCTTAACCATTATTGTCATTAAATGCATGAAAAGGCAGGAAAGACATTGATTTCCTATGAAATGGAGGATAATAAATAAGACAGAGAAAGACTGACATCAGTGACAGATTGGTAAGCTTGGTGATCTGCACAGTAAAGTTCTTCCTTATGTTCAGGTGGAACTTCCTATGAATTAATTTCTCCCTGTTGCCTCTTGTCCCATTGCTTGGCAGCACTGAGAAGAGCCTGACTCTATCCTCTTATCACCTACTTTTAAGATACTTATACACATTGATGTATAAATCAATTGATGTATAAATCTCAGTTATTTCTTCTCAAGGCTGAACAGGCCCAACTTCCTCAGCCTTTCCTCATAAGAGAGATGCTCCAGTCCCTTAATCATCCATCTTTATTGCCCTCCACTGGACCCACTCCAGGGGTTCCCTTGTCTCTTGTCCCGAGGAGCTCAGAACTGACACAGCACTCCAGATGCGGTCTCAGTAATTGCTCTAGGCAAAGCATATGGTCACAACTTTTAGAAATTGCTAGTGTGCCCTGATTATCATATTTTTCATGATACCATATAAATGTGGAAAAATAACAGTTCCCTTTGCTCTTTCATATCAGTTGAACATTTGGAAAACAAAAATTCTTGACTGTAGTGTGATGAAAAATGCTTTATTCTTAACTGCCAAGTTACTCTATTCGAATGACTGAAGTTTGCTTTTTCATATAGGAGATTGTGATTGTAATAAGTAAGAAATTAGTTTCTTTTCAGTGTAATTTGAAACTGCCTTACTTGAAAATGATGCACTTTGCCAGCACAGTTCCTAGCTAAGTGTTACTCCAGGCAATTGAAATATGAAAGAAGTAATAAGCTGTCTATTTGTTAAATCTTCTAGCTAAAAAGAAGAAGAAGCCAAAGCTCTTAAACAAGTTTGATAAGACCATTAAAGCTGAACTAGATGCTGCAGAAAAACTACGTAAAAAAGTAAGTTTTGAATGTTTCACTCAGGATTGTACACAGTGGACAAAAATTGATAAATACTTGTAAAAAGGGAGAATGAATTTTAGATTGCTTTTTGTGAAATTAAACTTTTGAAATAGTCAGTGCATATTTGTCCTTCATGTTTAATTTCTGCTAGATAGTTTGTCTTACATTTTTTAAAGTTATAAGTATATGTTTGTTCATATGTGTTTGTTTACCTTGAAGATAGATAGCATAATCATTGAATTTCTGCTTAAATGGATCACATCAAACAGGGTTAGTTCTGTCCTATCACTCTTGTCCACTTGACTGCTGAAGTTGAGTCTGTGTGCAGGGATCTCTCAGTGAGTTTCTGATGCCTCGTGAGCATTAGGTGCAGATCACTGAAGCAGGTGTTGTTTCTGTTGAGATTCTGTGTCCTAGGAGCACCTAGGCTCTTGTACAGCTGCTTAGAGGATGAAACAGATGTTCCTGCTTCTCACCAGGGGCAGCATGGCCTTAACATCAATCATTCAGTTTGGGTAGTTCTGAATTTAATAATTCGACCATGTAAAAGAAACAAAAATCTCCCCAAGCTCTTCAGTCATCTCCCCTTATAGCTTCCAATTTTATACTTTCATTTGAATATTTCAGAAAATAATATCTTTGCAGAGATATCCCTTTTCCAGATGTGAGATTAAGTAGTGAAGCAAGATTGTGGCTGTTAAAAATGAGGGACTTCAAGTCCTTTGAATTTCTTGTTAAAACTCTGATATGGCAGACATTCCTAGCACATAAAGAACAACTGCAGGTCTGTGCTGTACCTTAGATTTGAGGTGGATGAGCAGTGAGATATAATATTTTCAGTACAGGAAAATAAAAACCAATTAGGTCATTGCATGTGCAGGATTATTCCTGATTTTCAGGACATACTGTGCAGTTTTGACTTTACCTTGCCATCTGTGCAGCCCCAGAGTTCTGGTAGGTCTGTGATGGGGCTGGAGGGCTCTTGCATAGTGGCTCTGGCTGCCACTGCTGCTGTTCCTCACTAGAAGCCTCCTTTACATTTAGAATACAAAACCAAAAATGTTCATGCTTCTGTTACTTAAGCAATTGGTTAATCAGAAATAGGCGTAATAGACACATTTGATGAATCTGTAGGGTCAGTTTGTTGACTCTCTTTCCCTACTGTATTTCTTGATAAGTTACAGATAGCTATACATGTCATGTAGGAAGCAGGATAAATTTAGGAGCAAATCAGACATGTATAATATTTGAAGATAACAAGGCAGTTGTGTATAATTTATACACATATAACTCATAAAGCTGTAATAAGGTGGGAGTGGCAGCAAGGTCTATTGACAAATGTTGTCAAGCAGTGCTTAGCACCTGTTTGACAGTGGGGCTGGTTCTTCTCAACTTCCACCTGTACTGTCTAGTCAGTGTCCATCATGGGATCAACATCCATCAGGAGAATACCACAGTTACATTTAGACTTGTGTCACATGTCCTGAGGGACATGGTCATGCAAAGAAATTGGAAACAGCAATACACTGTGATTAAGTCTACAGTATTTCCCTTAGAAGAACTGCAGTTATGATAGTGTTCATCATGAGAGGTATGCAGAGGGAAAATTTCCACCTGTCTCCAGAATTTTCTTGCTGTACTCTATTATTTCTGCTCTGAATTTTTTTATTAGCAAGATTTCTGGTCTGAAATTTGTTATTGGAGTCTTTACTTTTGTATACAGTCAGGTTATTTTCATCTCAGCATTTTATCCAGTGAACAAGGGAAAGTGAGTAAAGTATGAAAAAACAAGTTATTAATTTTCACCATGAGAATTATATATATTATCTTCTATATTATATATACATATATTCTATATTCTATATTCTATATTATATATTATATATTATATATTATATATTATATAATATATTATATTTTATAATATATATATATTATATATGTTTTCATAAATAATGACAATCCCAACAAGTATGGAAAAGCTGAGTATATGAGTGAAAGCTGTTGATTCAGTCTGCATTGTTTTGTGTTTGTTCTTTAATTAAAAAACAAATGTGTTTTTAGGTCCTGCATCCTTCAGCATTTTTATTAGATAGAATTACTGATAAATGTCTCTGCTTTTCAGGGGAAAGTTGAAGAAGCTCTAAAGGCCTTTGAAGCATTAGTGAATCAATATCCACAAAGTCCTCGAGCAAGATACGGGAAAGCACAGGTACTTAGAAAAAGAAATAATAGGTGTTGAAAAAAGCTAAACTAAACATTTTGTTTTACCAATAGAGTTATAAACACCAGTTGGAACTAATTTATAAATTTATGCTGGTTTTCTAGGTGAAAAAAGAATCATGTGATCTTTCATATGTATCTCTTCAGTCAATTGTCCTTCCCCAGTTGTTTTGGCAGCTTTTGTGGAACTTCAGTGGGACGTATTGTAAATAACCAAAAAAAAAATATATATATATGGTACATCCTGTAGATCTCAGGAGAACTGTCAGGTGAATGAGATAAATACCAGCTAATACTGCAGTCACAACATGCAGAACCTACCTGTTACATCCTATTTGCTATAGCTGGGAAACCAACACGACTGTCAGCCTGGGATAAATGCTGCTTCTTGCTCTAGTGGGAACAGAGAAGAGGATTTGGAGTTTTAAGACAGAAAGAGTTAAAGGATAAAGAACACAAATTCTTGAGTGATGAGGCTTAATTAGCTTTACTTGTAGAGTGAGTTGTTTCAGGTGTTTCCCTTCAAAAAAAAAAAAAAAGTTAAAAAAACCAAACAAAACCCAGAAGGCATCAGAAAATAATCTCTGCATTTATAATACTTGTAGGCTGTGTTGAGATGTCTCAAAAGGGAATAATAGTAGGATAATCCTGCTGCACTAGGAGTAATAAAAGACTCCTTGAACTCATGTTAATCAGGATAACAAAGTGAAGCCCTCACTGCAGGAAGGAATGGTGCTGTTAGACAATTGATGAGGACCTTGGAGTCACGACCAGTTTCCACTCGGTTAATAATAAAAATGGCCATGCTAAAATCAAAGCTGTGATTATCCAAAAATCTATCACACAAGCACTTGATATAGAGCAGACCAAATGCTTCCCTGCTCTCTGTGGTGACAGTTTGCTGAACTCTTTTCCTCTTTACAGTAGGAGACCACTTTGTTCATACACATAATGAACTTACCTTTGTTAAGTTACACTTTTAATATTTACCAGTTTATACAAATCTACTCGATATGCTTCCCTCCTCCTGAATGGCTTTAGGGAGAAGGGCAGATCACTGCAGCCAGTTGTGAAATTTATTCTCATTCAAAATTCCCATCTCAGTGACCCAACTTCATTTCTCCATTTACAGCAATTTATACTTGCCTACTACTACTTTAGTAATTCATGAAAGGTCAATACAGACCAAGATCTGAATAAATAATTAGGTGCATTTTCTGTGAGTGTGTAAAAACAACGATAAATACATTTTCTGTTGCCTTTGAAGGTTCATACTACTCATTTTACTGAACAGTCGTATTAATTATCAATGGTAATTTTATTGGACCCAGTATGTGTAAATTCAAGCTGTTTGAAGGAAAAGGAAATCCATAAGCTTCAGACAGATGAATTATTTTTAAGATTTGCATTGTAACACGGTATTATTTTAAATGCATATTCATACCAACAAAATTCATTTAAATTTGCTATTTCTCATCACTAACTAGAAGGAAAACTGCAAAAGATAAGGTCAAAGGCCCTGAAGGTTAAAGGTAAAGAAGGTCAAGAATTCATCACAAAAGTGTACTTCTCCTTTTCTTTAAAGCATGAACCAACATTACATGCTCATTTTGTAGATTTGATTTTTAATAAGACATGAGGATTGATTTTTTTCTGGATCTTTTAATGGTTTTAAAAGGCAACTGTTTTCCCAAAAATCTAAAATATTTCAGTGTTGGTGTGTTTTTCAGAAATATGAGCAATTCTTTATTTGCTGTCGGAATTACATTTGAGCCAGATAAAATTATACTCTGCAGAATTCATTAACTTTTTTACAGCTGAAAAGAAGAATGGATAGGTTTTTAACCTCCTTATATGATTTATACTGGTGTAGCTGTGCAGATTTTATGCTGACAATTTTTCCTTCTTTGTTATATATCTTTAATATTCTTTGCCCTGCAATTCCTTTGAAAAAAGGAGAAATAAATTTCCTAGTGAATGTACATTAGAAAAAATAAATTATTGCTTAAAACTAATTTCTGAAGTTGTCTCTGAAAGCTGCTTGATGAACTGTTTGACTGAGTAACCATATTTTTTGGTATTTCCAATACTAAGTTTTAAAGCAACTCAAGGAAAAATTAAAGGACAAAATTGCAAAAAGATTTCAGATACTTGCTGTAACATATACAGATAATACAGCTGAAGCAATTTCATTTAATGTGTGTCTTTGATGCAACAGTGAATTTAAATAGTCCAGCAGTAGCTCCTGCACCATCATGCTTGTGTTACATCTGCTGTGGGTCTTAAGAAAGAACGTAAGACAATAAATACAGAAGTATTTGAGAAGAATGAGTTAAACACATAAAAATGCATGCATTTGTATAAACAATTCAAAGTAAGCCTTTAAAAATTCTGCATTTGAGACATAGTCTTTTTCAGCTATGGAAGCTGAGTATGAACATGCCTTACCACAGGTGAGATCAGTCATAACTTCTGTTAGATTCACTGCAGCTGTAATTTAACTGTAGAGAGGTCATAGATGCTTTGGTCTGCTTCTGAATTTGATGAACAAATTTAAGTTTTGAAGGAGTTGTATAGTACATATTCTATTAATGTATGCAAGGCATAAGGCAATTCCTAATTAATTTTGCAATAAAGAGTGTAAATAGATGTGTCAGAATAGATGAAAAGTCTGTTGGTGTATTGCTTCCAGAGTGAGGCTTAGTATGCAAATAGTCCATAGACAAAATTTTGCATTTCTTCTGTGTTATTAAAACAGATTGATCCATCTGCTTTTGAAAGTAGGAATTATGAATTCTACAAATATTAAGCAAAAATCTGTGTTAATATATGTTTTTGGTGCAAATTTTTTCATATTTCTCCTTTCAAATAGTTTGTAGGTAAAAGGATTTAATGGTAATTCTAGTCTGCTTTCCCATAAAACACAACACACAGCCTAAGTTTTCCTGGTAAGAAAATAGTTGGTTTTAAGCCTAACGGATTATTAGGTGTTCTAATAATGGTTGTATTATTCTTTCTAGTCTGAAGATGACTTAGCTGAGAAAATGAGAAGCAATGAGATGCTGCAACAAGCTATCAACACCTATGATGAGGTGGTTAGTCTGCCAAACGTCCCTTCAGACCTGATAAAACTGAGCTTGAAGCGAGAGGCAGACAGGCAGCAGTTCCTTGGTAAGTTTTGAGGATGCTATAAAATTTACAGAAGTTGTCTGCACAAGGATTTCAAGATATCACTAAGGATTTTAAGGTGACAATTCCATTGAATTTTTGGATGGACTTGTCTTCCTAGTATTTTAAATTAAAACCATTTTTACATTACTTAATTTTTTTCTAGTGAAAAGAGGAAATTTCTGGCGTAAGAAGAGTAAACATACTTAGAATAAACTTTTGATAAACGTAGAGAAGAATGGAATTAAATATGAGGAGAAGAGCCCCAAGATTTTGGTTGAGATTCTAGTTTTAGATCTCAATTCTGTGATGTATGAGAATTGATGATTAGAATATGAGGCAAAATCAAGGGTTCTGTTCCCATGGGTTGAATTTTTAATATCAAGTTGTTTTGATCTTGCTTTTCCTTAGCATGACCTCATTTAGGAAGTCTAAGAACATACTCAATTTTAAGCACACAAAGCATGATACATTTCATAACAGAGATAGAGTAGAACTATTACTTAACACTAGAAATTAATTGAATTTACTTAATTAAGGTGAAATTTATTAATATATGTTTACTTAGTTTTGTCCAGTGCTTTGCTATCTGTGTATGATTGAGCAACTAAAATAAATCTGTGTATGATTGAGCAACTAAAACTTAAATAATGTTATTTCTGCACTGTGAAAGGTTCTCCACAAGAGGCTGCCCTAACACTGCGTGATTGCAGTATCTCAATGATTCTCTGAGATATTCCTGGTACACCCATAGTGACAGCCAGGCAGCCGAATGTGCTCCTGTCTGCACAAGTTTTTCCAGGTTTTCCTTCTTGATTGTCAGTGAAAGTGGACCACTTGCCTCTGATTTGTGTTTCATTAGATGTTGTCTTGCTACTGTTTCTTATATCTGTGCTTGTAATTAAGCCTTGTTCAATCAAATCAGGTCGCATGAGGGGTTCCCTGGTTACTCTACAGAAATTAGTTCAGCTGTTTCCCAGTGAGACTTCATTCAAGAATGACCTTGGTGTTGGTTACCTCTTGATAGGAGATAACAGCAATGCTAAGAAAGTATATGAAGAGGTGAGTTTCCATTCCATTCCATTCCATTCTTCTAATTTTAATTTCTATTTTCTGATACTGTCATGCTAAGATTTTCCTCATTGACAGGAATGCAGATTATTTCCACATGCTTAATAATAAGAAATCTCTACTTTCTGGTAGTCAGGTTTGGAATATATTGACAACACATCTAGGTGTGATGTATGTAACATATAATGCATTCTAAAAAAAAGATAACCAATCTTCAAGATAAGGAAAGCAGAAGTAAGTTTTTTTACAGGAACAGAATCTAACTATGTAATCAAGTAGATCAGTACTCACAAAGTTATTTAACCTTAGTTTTGTTCATCTTTTTATAAGTAGCTTAAAATCTGTTTATATTTCATTATGTTTGTAGTGTGGACAATTAATTGAATTTATATTTCTGTCTTATACTGTGGTTATCTGGTTGGAGAAAATTCACTGCCAGGAAAGGTCACTCTCTTCCTGTGATCTAGAAACCCTGTTAACATCTGGAAACTGTCTGACAGATGTGGAATCTGACATCATTGGTAGAGCACAAATCATCACACCTGACCAGGAATGGTCCTGTTGATATTGGCACACTTGTGGTGCTTGTGTAGGACAGGCTTGCTGATTGTCTGGTTATGGAGGCTGGAAAGGGATCAGCAGGATTAGTGCCACCTCCTGAGAATAAAGGCCCAATTTTCCATCCCCCCACATCTGGGAGGCTGAAGCAATTCTCGTCTGAGACAGCCTCTCAAAGAGAAGGAGGATGTTCAACCACATGGTTGGAAGCAGAAGCCAAACACAAGGAATACCATTTTTTTCCCTCAAGCTCCTCTGGTAGTCTCAGATGTTGCCAGAATAATGTTTGCTTTGCTACCTTGGCTACTTTTTAGGTCCTTCCATAAAACATTTCTGTCCAATAATTTTTGGCTTGCTATCAAAATTTCTCAGAGGATTGGAAATCTTGGCTTTTAAAGATAGAATTTATTAAACAAGTCTGCTACTCAAGCTGCAAGGAATTTGAGAAAACAAAAATATACTCCTTTCAGGCAAGATTTTCCCATGCAATTATTCATTATTTTGTGGGAAACAACATAATTGTTAGAATTTCTCAATAATCACAGGGATTTTTATACACGGAGGAAGGTCATGAATTTGCTATATAATTATTTTGATACTGAATTTTATATACTTCAGAAGAAATATACAGGGCTGATGAAGAACAGATATGCAACTGGTGTGCTTTTAACATATTGTTTTCCATTCTTCTTTATCCAATCTTTAATTACTCTGTTTTGCAGTTCACTAGCACTGAAACAGAATAGAGCATAGTGATCGTCTGTCATTGTAAAAGGAGGACAACTAATTTTTTTTTAAAGATTTGGATTGATTTTTTTTTTTAATCATGGTGGGTTTGTCCATATTTTAAGTATTACTCAGGCTGAATTCCAACACAATAATGTAATTTTTTTTGGTTGCAATTCAGGATAAATTTACACTAAGGATTTTTAGAAAGAATACCCAAAGAAACAGGGAGAATCTTTTGTATACCTGCTTTGGTTCTTGGTTCTGCTGAAGGCTTCTTGGATGATTTTGGGCAGATTGCTTAGGGGCTACATGGCTTGCTCTGGAGTGCTTTGCTCAGCTGTTGCAATACATATTTAGAAAGTGCTTGGTTTTGAGCTCCTACCATAGGTGCTCGGGTTCTCTACACGGTCGAGAAAGGGGAAAAATGAATAGTGGTTCTGAGGGCCTCAAGGAGATGTCTTAGTCTTCCCATGATTTTTGAAAAAACTGAGAAACTGCTGAAGTGTAACTAAGTCCTTCTCACTTGTATCATCTTTTGATACAAAAATGTTAAGAGAGCACAGACAAGAGCATGAACTCAGTGCTGCAAAGTAGATACCTCCGATAGTTATACATCCTGTTTCCCACTGTAAGGGTGTTCATACATTTTATTCAAGTGTTCTTTAATGCAGAAAGCACAGCATCTTAGATGTCAGTACACATCCTCAGGAGACCATACACCTCATTCAACTTAGAGTCTCAGCTTTTTGTTGATTTCCCTCTAGCCTTATTCATGGTTGTCTAAATTCCTGTGTATGTGGTATTTGTTTCTGCTGCTCAGGAAAATTCCCAAGTAGTTAAACACTCTTCTCTGCAGAGGAACTTAAACTCCAAATTTCCCATTTCCTGGGAAGCTGCTAGATTAGTGGGCAAAATCTTTACTTCCTGCTGTAACATTTCAATCTCCATTCAATGTTACTGCTCTGTGTTAAGCATGCAACCAGATGAACCCTGCACAGGCAACATTCTCTACATGGGATCACAGTACATGCCATTTCAGACCAGACTAACCCAAGCTTGGATCATCTCCAAGGAACTGAATAGAAGCCCAGGGAATCCTAGTAGATGATATGCTTTACATTTAATAGCCAGTTTACTTATTTGCCAGTTAATTCTTATCTTTCTTTGCAAATTTGTTACATCTTAGCAGCCTATTTTAAAAGTCTTTAATATGTGTTTCTTCTTTTAGCTACAGAAGCAATGTGTATAAACACTGAACTTCAGACCAAGAGAGTTTTTTGCTTCCAACTGTAGTGTGGTATAGTATAACTTGCCCAAAATACAGTTTTCTAGTTTGTGTTTGCCATAATTTTTTGCTGAACCACAGATGGAAAATGGTGTCCAGCTGGAGAGGATTTCAGTTTTGCCTCTAATATTAAATTGTTTTCCTTTGAATATTGCACTTATGGACATGGAAACATAATTTTAAGGGTAATCCTAGTAGAATTCAGAGCTATTTCTATTTTCAAAGAAAACATAAATTTAAAAGTAGTCCTGGTAGAATTAGAACTATTTTTGGTTCAAACATTCACAGATTATAAAAAATACAGTAAAAGAGAACTTTGTAAGACTGGCTACTCAGCTAATAGCTCTTTTTCTGCCTCCATGCTGAGGCATGTGTGCAGCATTATAGAGACATGCATAAGCCAGCTCTGATTGAGCTATCTCAGGTACCAAAACCAGAATATGCACATTAACACAGTACTCTGCCATGGCTAATTAGTCTCTGATAGCCCCAGAGGTTAATTTCTATGTTCATGATTAATATTTAATGGGCTATGAGCAGTTTAGTAAAACTTATTTCTAAACATAATTAATATTGCACACAGCAACAGCAACAGAGTAATACAATTTACATTAAATACTTCCAGTGTAATTTCTGCTGATTGTATCTCTTTGCTTCTCTTTAGGGGCTCTGAATGTAGATCATTCCTTAATGCAACTCGGCATAGTTTAAATGAACCATAGTACAGAAAATTCTATTCTGTCTTAATTAATCAGATAGCTTTATCCTATAGTTAAAGAAACTGTAACGAAATTATGTGGCTAATAAATATTTCTGTCAGTCATTTCATTTCACCCTGCAGGTACAGATTCTTGGATCAAAATAATTATACACAGAATGCTGTAGTCAAAAGGCATAAGATGCAGAAGGTGGTAGTGTAGTCTTATACTAGAGATCAAGCTCATCCTTACTGTGGCACTTTTTCCTAATAATGTCTCATACTCTGGACTTCCAATAGATTCTCAAATTGTTTGTTCCTCCGTAATAAGTATTTTCTGTGAAAAGATATAAAATGCTGCTATTTTTAACTCATAACGTTTTGTACCTTCATGGCTATCATTTTTGGTTTTCCTTGGATGTAGTTGGTGTGTTTAAGATTTGAGAAAAGAGAGAAATTGGTCCAGAAAATTTCTTATTATTTTGATTGTAATTATTTTGATTGAAAAGTGATATCAGACAGGGACTGGAAAAGGCAGAGGAAAATAACTATAATGAATGCAGGCATTTTATCCATGGCATAAGTTTAGTAACTTAAAAAATGGATTTAGGCAAGAGAAATTGCTCATCTGTCTGTTGTTTTGTATTTAGCACCTGTCTAGACATTCAGTGGATATCAGCTTCTGTAATTCCTCTGCCTGCCAGTCTCCTGTGATGATCCTCACAGACTGAGGGTCTATCCTGATAAGACTGTCTGCCCTTATTTTAAGGAGAGAAGAGGTGTAACTTAACTGTGTAATTATATTGCATAGAGCCACAAATTATATTGAATATGTACACCATAGAAATGCAGAGCTGAAAAGTAGGTCAAGACGTTCTCTCTAATTTTTGCCCTTAGCTGAGGCAGACCAGTTGCACTTAAATTATCTGACTGGTGTTGGGGTGCATGTTTCAGAAGTCAGGCTGCCAGCTTTTCAGCTCCTTTCCCTGAAACACTGCCCCATACACCGATCCTTTCCTACAGCTGTCCCTGTACTCACAAATCTTTGTCTACCATGACAAATGGAAGACAAGCTGAAAATTTCAAGATGAAATATCCATCTCTGGACATTTGCCTATGAGTCTCCCTTTTCTGCAAAATTAAGCCAGTTTGTAACTCAGATATGAACTGAATGTTGTTGAGGGTACAAAATCCTTTAGCTGAATTTAGCATGCTTGTTCTTGGTCAAGAAGTGCAGCACAAAACTACACAAGAATAATTTTTCCATCATCTTCTAGTGTAAAAGCACATTGAGTCACTACTGCAATAGACTTTTTATTGCCTTCTTTCTCATGGCCAGAAAGTACACACTGTTCCAGAGAGTGCTCCAGCTCACCACTGTGGTGAGAGTGCCCTTGGTGTTCCAGGGTTTGCACAACCCCATCTCACAATGCTGGCATTACATTGCAGCTTCTTTCTAAATTGTAGTCATGCTTCACATGCTTTCTCTTGCAAAAACTAGTTAATCTATATAATTTAAAACTATTTCTGCTGCAGATTTTTTCAAGAGTCGATGCCTTTCTTCTGATTAGTACAACCTGGAATAAGTAACTTCAGTGTTAATAGTGGGTTTAATTCTGTAAGTAGCATGTTATAACTCAAGAGAGAAGTGTAGAAAAGGACAGACAAGTGAAAAATAAAGCAATTTCTGTTGAAATAATTTTACTTCTGAGACTTTGAAGTTTGGCTTATCTGGAGAAAGCACAAAAGTGAATGAGGAAAATAAATCACAAACAAGCTAAGGGTTTACCTGAGAATCAGTAATGGAAGACAGTGCTAAATAGTTTTATGTACACAAGTTTGTTATTTGGCGTATATTCATACTGGTGTATTTAATTCATTTCCTCTCAAACAGGTCCTAAGTCTGGCTCCAAATGATGGCTTTGCCAAAGTACATTATGGCTTCATCCTGAAGGCAGAAAACAAGATAGCAGAGAGCATACCTTATCTACAGGTACTTTTTCACCCACAGTAAATGTTTTACCAGCAAACAGTAGAATTGGAATGTATAAAATGTGTCAGATTAGAAGTGTACTAATTACAAATCACTGCTTAAGCTATTTGTTGGAATTATATTGGTGTATCACTGCTTATGAACTGGAACAAACTTGTACATTGAAAAGCATTAATTATTAAGCATCAAGTTTTTGTTTTCTTAATGGTTGACCCAAAGTAACAGCTCTGAGCCTCAAATTTTTTTGAGGTTGGTAGTATGCTGCAAACCTAAAGTTCTTGAAAGATCCAGAAAAGTCTTGTGTATACTTCTGAGTGTTTGGGAAGAAATACTACAAAATAAGTCTTGATCCAGCTTTATAAAATGCTGTATATATGTTTATGGGGTCAGGACAAAGTATCAATCTCCAAATATACCTCTGTCTTGGAGGGATTGAGGGGAGAGGCTGTGGGCTGTGGAAAACTGATAACATTTCTCAATGACTTTCTATTGACATATTGTATTCATTCAGCTTAAATTCCAGGTTACATGGTGGTTACATTTTTACCTAATTTCTTAGGCTGTCTCTTGCATAGGCTTGACAGACTATTTAGAGAAATCAAATGAAGTATTTTAGAAGTCCTATTGAAGTTTTCTTATACCTTTCATTTTTATTTACTTATTTATGTAATTTTTAGGAAGGACTGGAGTCTGGTGACCCTGGCACAGATGATGGACGTTTTTATTTTCATCTGGGTGATGCATTACAGAGAATGGGAGACAAAGAGGTACACGTTTAACGTGTTCTTGCTTTAAAATCTAAATCTCTGAGCGGTGACAGAATCCAGAGAAGCATTTAATGATGGGCTTAACGTTAAAAACAAGAGCAGTCTGATTGCAATAACAATCCAGCATGTGCGTGTAGAGGTCAAAATTACTAACAGCAAAAAATCTGTTGTATGCATTACAATATAATCTCTTAGCATCCCTTGCTTTAGATTTAACTTAAAATGTTGAAGCTGGCATAGGGCTGCTTGAAACAAGGAACTAAAAATTTACAAAGGTTTTGAATATTTCTAGAATTTGTTTTCTGCTTATATCACAACACAGATTTTAATGAGAGTTAAAAGAATCAGTTACATGTATATTACATGTATGGAAGTTCTTGTATAACACTGTTTTGTAAATCTTCCTTTCTTTCCAAGGAAAAAGTGCCAGTGAGTATGAGATAAAAGAGAATCATGAGAGGATTGAATGTGTGGGCTGAGTTATGAAATTTTTTCAATAACTAAATTAGCAAATCAATCAGGAAAAAAGAAATTTGTACTATGTATAGTTAAATGGCCAACAAAAACAAACATATGATGCTGGAAACCATAGGAGTTTCTCTTTTGTTTATTTGAAATCAAATTATACTTAGAAGTGAAATTTAAATGTATGAATTTCCACTATGGTCATGGTAGGGGAGCAAAGAACCTTTTTTGAAGACTCTGATTAGTCATGTACTTAAATATGGGCACGAATTTATAAACAACAGCAAAAAAAAAAATCCGATTCCTAGGTGAAAAATATAAAGAGAATAAGCTTTAAAAATCAGAGTAGAAATAACCATGAAAATCACTGCTTTTTAATTATTTACCTAATAATGTGTGCAATATTAATACCTAAAAAATTTTTAAAAATACTGACCCCTTTAGTGCTGTGGCCCTGTCAGTTGGTGGTTCTCCAGGATGAGCTGTAGACTTCATCACTGGGCTGTGATGAAGCCTCTGTATGTAATCTTTCTCAAGTCTAGTTCATCAGGTTACCTTTTTTTTGATAATTCATGGAACTTTTATTACAATACTTTATACATGCAGTAGACCTAGAATGTAATATCCAAATTTTAAGTTAGATTGCCTTCCCAGCAATATTCTTCCAATGATATTTTTTTTTTAATTGTTCATTTTTAAGTGAGAATTAGTTTACCTCATTTTACTTAGAAACACATGCAGACACAGGGTCTGCTTTCAGACTCTATCTAACTCTGTCTCCTCTCAAATCCCTGTACATTTCCATGGAACATTCTGGGTTGAGTTGCTGAGCCTAGAATATCCCAATGACATGTTTAAATAATGATACCACATAGATGTAATTAATGTACAGCATCTCTAACCCCAGGATAATTATATGTTAATGTTTATGGAGTTAATGGCCAAATATTCTGAAGAAAAAATTTAATTAATGACAAATGAGCTTATTGGGATAGAGAAGACTTCTAAATTTATCAGTGGAAAGTCCATTGTTCAGCTAAATTTTTCTCACTGACCTTGCTAGACTTGCTGATTTTCAAGATTTAATCAGGGAAACAGATCAATATTTAAGTTAAATGTGAAATTGCTATCACTGAAGGTTTGTTGAAGGGAGATATTCATCTATTAGAGCTAAATTAGGAGTTATGAATGTGGCCTTGGGAAATGTTAGGGGAAGAGTATTGAATATGCCTTCTCCAACTATAAATTGATAAAATGCCATATTGGCTTAAGAAAAGAGAAGAGAAATTAAAACCGTGGAAGTTGTTACAGAACAAAAGCACTTTTCACACAGAATGTATAAACTGAGTGCATCTCAAACAATTTCTGTCCTGGAAAGGTGAGCTACACTGTTGTAGCTGTCCATGTTCCACTGCCAAGACCTGCATGAGAAAAGGAATGCTTCTCACAAAGTCTTGAGAATGGGAAGGATGAGTGAGACAGCCTCTTGGTAAAGGCAATTTTCATAGCACAATTATTCTAATAAATAAAAATTAATTGTATTATACATAGTCATAATAGCTGATGTGGCTCAAAGAGAGCAACATTCATATTCACATACTCACATCATTCAGGGGCTGAAACAAATAATTAATTCCCCTTATCATTTGGGCTAACTCCAGACATTGCAGTTGAGTGCAGGCAGAGAACATGAACCATCTATTGACATCTCACTGGTATTTTAACTTTGAGGAACAAATGTTATAAATCCTAATGCTTCCATTTCAGACAGTTAAACAAGATAACATCAACATTTAAAGATATAATACAGTGTATTACCTTTGTGTATTACCTTATTATATTTTTGACCCATGCATAATTTTACTGAGCTTCTGTAGGGAGAAAAAGATGACAATTTATATATGATCTGCTGTTATTCAGTTCATCCACACTACTTTTGTGCACTTCCAATAAATACTGTAGGGCAACAATGTATTGCAGACTTTGCTCCATAGTTTGGGAGAGTTATAAAGATCAAAGTACCACATTTTTCAAAAACCTGAAGAAAGTTTACAAACTCTTAATGAGGACTTTGGCCAGTTTCTGTTCAAGGCAGAGATTGCTGCCTGCCTCAGTCCCTCCGCTCTGGAATTATTGTTCTCATATTTCCCTACTTAGCTGTCCTGTTTTTTTTTAGTTTGTGGTGTTTTGTGGGGGAATGTTGTTTGATTATTAGGGGATTTTTTAAAATTATGTTGTCTGAAATATTGCAGCTCTGGCAGCAATGCAAGGTGGGAAGGCAGCAGTTCTGTATAGCCCTCTCTGCATATGGTTTGTTGCCGTACTAGAAATGCTGGATCTTTTCTTTCCATACATTTCATTTTCTTTGTTTTTTGTTGGTTTTTTTTTTTGTTTGTTTGTTTTTTTTTTTTTTGCTGCTATGCAGGAGTAAAACAAGTTGTGTAAAGGGAGAGTAAAGACAAGCAAAGGTCCACTATTAACTTCAGCAGGTTTCTGTCATGTGATCAGCTTTGGTGTGGCTAAAAGTATTTGAAAAAACTCAAGTGCATTTAAATATTAGATAATTAACACTTTAGATCCACAAAGTCATCATTATTTTCATCATCACAGCATCTCCACTGACAGCAGAAGACAGGCATCTTTCATTTGTAGGTAGAGGATTGAAACAGAGAAAATTAAATTGACCAAGATGAGAAACAATTTGATATTCCAAGTCCAAGGACAGGGTGTGGATTACTGGCCCATATTACTTTTGTGAGAAGATTGTCCTGTTTTGTTAATGTTGGACTGGACACTCTTGGCCAACTATTTGCTTATTTGGTTTTTTTGTTTGTTTGTGGATTTTTTTCCTTAAAGTATTCATTAGTATATTTTATTAAAAGAATAACCCCAACATCCAAAGAGACTGTCTGCTACCTTGCCAGGAAATGTTACTTTTTTCCTGTAGGAGCTTGGCTGATATGAACTTGGTTATTTACAACTACAATGTTTTAGGCATACAAGTGGTATGAACTTGGATACCAAAGAGGTCACTTTGCATCAGTTTGGCAGCGCTCCCTCTACAATGTCAAGGGACTGAAAGCTCAACCTTGGTGGACAGCAAGGGAAACTGGGTATACAGAACTGGTGAAGGTAAGACTTCCTTATATTTTTATTTTTCTTAAAATGACAGCTATAATTTCAGTTATTAAGCAGAGAAAATGCTAATCAATAAGGTCAGAACTACTGACTGTGAATTCCAGACACCACTGTCAGACTGAGCACAAGACTTAAGTAAGATACTATAAAATAAGCTTAGACATTTTCAAATTTGAGAATGGGGACAAGATGACTGAAATTATTAATAAATACTAAATTTGCATGGTAAACAAATGTAACATCTCAAGTGGAAAATGACAGCACAATTTGGTAATATCTGGAATAACCATTGTGAATTTTTAATTAGTCAGGAAAGACTGTGCTTTTGAGCCCTTGTGTAATATTTGGAAGCTTTTAATTGCATGAGAGAAACAAATATAGATTCCCAGTGATGGATTTAACAAAAATAATAATGCAGAATTTAAATTCTTTAAAAGGTTATTTATTTATTTATTTAAAGCAAGGCATTAAATATTGTTCATAACAATAGCTTTTATTTCCAAAATAGCATTGTTTTTTATTAATTTATTAGAATTCTAATAATAATTCCTAAAAAATTAGGAGAAGCCTTTTTTCCTGTATGTTTCAATTATTGGTGTGTGGTTTAGAGAAACTATTATGGATAAATAATTTAAACCCAGAAAAGTATATTTTTAAGGAACAAATTCCTTCAGAGTGGTTGTTTCTTTCTACTAAGTTACATAGAATATTTAAAAAAACACTATGGAGTGATGGTTATTTTAAAAAAATAAAAGTAGTTTAAAAAGAAAGATTGCTCTTTGTTATGGTTTTGATGGGAACAAAAATAAGGCTAGAAATTTAGATTAAAGTGTGATTCTCCAATGTAATCTCAGCTACACCAAAAAGTAGTGAGCTTTATGTACTAGCACATGAAATGTGCTCATATTGAACTAATTCTTGAGGTATGTGGGGAATGGATGCTTCTTGCCATACAAGATATAGAGAAACTGGGAACTTCTTAATTTGTTTCTGTCAAACAAAAAGGAAATATACATATTATTTGATTGGCATTTTAGAGCTACTTGCAGTGTTGTTTTACAGTTCCTTACATGTAAACCTTTCAAATTCCTATGTCACAGAAGGTAATGATCCATTCACACTTGTTTTGAGTCAGCTTTGAAGGGTGAAAGAATTCAGCTGATGTTACAAAATGGCCAGAGCTTCACCTTGAAGGGGATTTTTTCAGATGAATCAGGCTGTATATGGAGGCCTTGGTTTGGATCAGCATCATGATTGGCTCCTAGAAGAGCTGCTCAGAAAACCAGCAAGGATAAAAATTCACCCCGACCTCCACAGTACAATTGCCTCTTTGGAATTCAGTAATACCTTTTTATTCCAATAATTTGGTGGTACATGTTTATTAGCAATATGTCAGTGAATCTAGATTAAATTGTGATTAATAATTTACTTGCACATGTATCGTAATTTGGGAGCAGTAAGATCTTTAAGACAACAGAGTTTAAAGTATAAAGCCAAAATGTTGCTATATTCATCAGGACAAATATTTGTGTTGTTGGGTTTTTTTGTAACTCAAGAAAGTACTTGAAGTTTTGCAAGAAAGCAGGTTTGATTTTAATTATGCAAGCAAGATTCAATGCTGCAAGCAAGACTAGAAGTAGTATTCTTCAGGAAGCAGGAAAAAAATATTGATGACCTTAGTTTTCTAATTTCTGAAGTACTCCAACTTCTGTACATGGTTTAGTTAAAAAAAATTATTTCCCCTTCTCACAGAACAAAAACCAATCAACAGTTAGTTCCTACTGCTTCATTTCATTACATTTCTCTTACTTCTGTGTGGGAAATGTGGGAAATGCTTCCAAATCACCATGGTAGAATTCAATATGGATATATAATGTACATAGCACTGGGGGCCCTGACCCTATCTCTGAATTTCACTGCTTGTTAAATGGGAATGAACTATTTTTATACCAATAACTTGGTATCTTAATAATGCTAACTGAGCATTTATTTGGGGCTGGAGCAGTAGTGAAGCTGAACTCTCTTTGATTCATTCCATTAACCAACACAGCTGTGGTCAGTGACATCTTATACCACAGACCTGGCTTGATTTTCTTATAAAAGGTCATCTAGTTTCTTTGGCATAGAGATGGAGATATGAATTTTGACACTGACTTGCTTCTTCCACAGAAATCCTAAAAAGAAATTTGTCTTTTTTTGGTATTCTCAGTTTAATAACTTCCTTCTGAGGGGCATTCAGCTTAACTAGCTGTAATCATACAGATGTGAGACAAACTGTCCATGCTAGTGGCATTGTTTGCAAGTGAGAAAAAAGGGATATTTCCACAGGATTATTCATTTTTACAATGGTGAATAACAACTGTAAGCATGGTGTATCTCCTTTTCTGGTGTTAGCTGTCCTACTACTTTACTTAAAAAATGGGTCCTGATGCTTAACTTCCTGATGGGTTAAAATAAGGTTAGAATAAGACAATCCCATACTTTATCTATTTTTTTTTTACCTGCTTGCCTGTATATCTTAAGGAAGAGGGTTTTGGTTTGGGCTTTTTTTTTTGGTGGTCAGAAGTGGGGAAGACTGAGAATATCTCAGTAACACTTATCAGGACATTGTAGACCTTAAACAGTGGAACTGTGCTGAAGGGAAGTGGAGTTTTGAATCTCTCTGCAGTTCACTGAGGCTTAATGTTTTTCCTTGAAAGAACAGGGAGAGGCACCTGATTTCTCAGGGAGAAGAAAATATAAACCTTTATATTAAGAAGGGTGTGGTGAGTGATTTATGTAAAGATGTTCTGCTAATGTTTCTGATTTACAGGCATTTTAGACCTTTGGATCTGGGAATTCAGGAAACTTGTCTTCTTCTTTTTATCTCAGCTGAAAGGAACACTTACTTTCATCTTTAAAATCCCATTCTTTTCCCTCAGGAGGATTAGCTTTCCTCAGCCAGTCTTACTGAGTCATTGCATCTTTCTCCAGTACCTTCTGCAGAACCCCATTCATAGCATTATTCTATTCTGGTGCTCATTTAAAAGATAATAAAAGACTTATGATGGTGTTGGATCCTAGAGACTTTCCACTGGTCTGAAATTAATATGTAGGCATTGACTTCAATAACTTTGTCCTTTCTGCATGTTGTGTCCCTTGGCTTTTGGAAAGGACCCAGATGATGCTTTGCCAATAATTTACTACAGTGAATAGGTGATTGATTTTAAGTAGAACTTGTATTGTTGCTTTGCTCTGATGGCTTAGATTTTATTATATTAATTTTCAAGTGCATCAAGAAAAGTGCAGAAAGATAATGAAAGTATAGGCAGCAGCACATATCTTTATAGTTTTCCATAGGTTGACAGCTGGGCCTTAATAGTTTAGGTAATGATAGCTAAACATTCATAGTCAAGGGAGAAATTAAATTGAAATGTGTATTTAGAGTGTGTTTGTATGCTTTAAGGAGAGAGTTGTGTTGAAAAGAGCAAATATGATGCATACAAGTGTTGATGTTTAAGCTCTGTGAGTTGATTGAATGGGTACAAGGAATCTGTTTTAAAACACTGCTCCTTGCTTGGAGGTTATCAGCATTACCCAGTGGAGATGTGGTAACTGATTGTGAATGCTTTCCTATTCTGTTTAAGTAACAAAGTGAAGTGCATTAAACTCTTCACCACGATTTTATTTTATAGTTCAGTGGATTAAAATGGATGTGTGGCCAGTTGTTATGCCTCACATGAAGGGTAGCAACCCCTTAATCTCTTCCTCTGTCATTTATAACCACACATTGAATGGGTTTGACAGCACAGAGTAAAGATATTTTCAATGTAATAGTCTCACATAAAAGCCTCCAATATTAAAAAATCCCTATTTAAATAAAATCAACATTATTGCCAGATGTACAGCAACTGTAAACTTCAATTGTTATTAGGAACTGTATTTAAAAAGCCATATGGAGGTTTATGGGAATCAGCTGCTAGCAAACAAGTACATATGCTCCCAGTTCTGGCTGCCTCCTGATTTTTCACTTGTAATCAGGATACTGCACCAAATATAATATGAATTTTTTGCTCTAACATGGAGCTTGAATCCTTACATATCACAGAGTCATAAGTATATTTGACTTATTTCCTGCAGACACTAACTCAGATCAGGAACTGGAAGTCCAAGTCCTGGACTTAATCATTATGTTAAAATGTTGGTTTTTTTATTATTATTCAAGGTATCCCTGAGAGTCTGTGGTATCAGGAAGACCAAGGCTGGGTGGTGTTTGAACTCCCCACTTTATTTGTCCCTAGGAGTTGTCTGTTGGTCATTATAAAGCACTGTCAGTGTGTTTTACAGGTGGGGGTCTACGTTTTCAGGGCAGAAACCCTATTGATTTCTGAGCAATTTATGTCTAAAACCATTGAGACTTTAGCTCAAAATTGATGAGATATATTCAAATAAATTTGTACCTAACATATTAGGGAGGGAGAGCCTTTAAACACAAGGACAAACACTCACCTGTATAGGTTAACCTTCAACCTGTGGCACTTGAGAGAGAAAGTGGAGGTGACAGCAGCTGTTGCTGGCAATGCCTTGGACCACCAGTGCTCTTCATGTGTCATCTTGTCTGCATGGATGAATGCTCCCTCTTACCTTTTCTCAGCTGAGGGAGTAGGAGGAGTTTGAGGAAGCACAGAAGAACTTGGAATATCCTTTAAACTTTTCCAGTTTTGTTGCTCTGTATCACTTTAAATTGAGGCTGGTGTGAGTGTAGGTTATTTTCTTGTTTCTCTTCTCCACCCAGTGCAAAACCAGGTACTCAAGCTAGCATTTCCTTTTGTAGATGGGGTAGTGCTGAATAAGTAGCAGCACTGTTCTCATATACATCTCTAATTAGGTGGAAATTTTCAATCTTTTTTTATACCTTACATTTTGGAAAAGTCAGTTTTCCAAAGATATTCTAAAAAAACACCCAAACTCCAGAATAACTTTTTGCAATTTTACTTAATGCTAGCTGTTAAATGAGTGTTACAGAAATAAGTGTAATAGAAATGAGTGTAAATGAGTGTTAAAGAAACCATCAATAGGAGAATATTGTGGAGAGAGAATAATGTGAATACACTAGGAAAAATAAGTGTTCTTCCTCATTTTTTTGATAGGTGAGAAAAAAACCCAATTTGTTATGATAGAAATTACTATATAGGATAAGTGAAATCTATATTTTCATATATTTTAGCCTAGCTAAAATTGTTGTAGTGGAAGAAAGTAGCTGTATTATAGACAATGTTCTAACTAAAGTTTGCTTTGTTGAGCCTTTTATGATCTAGCAATATAAACCTATTTTGTCAGATCAGCTTTTCCTTTAAGTAATAAAACTCAAGTGGAACATGCAACTGTTAATTTACAAGAGGATGGCTAATAATCATATGAAGTTTTAAGACTAAAAGGGGACACTTATATCACCTAGCACCTGTATCACCTTTTATTCATCATATAAGGAGGAAGTGTGGGAACATACCATAGCTTATTTCAGTGTTAAATGGATTGAAGATGTCTTACAGAAATGCATTGTTCAAGAGCACAAAGGAAAAATGAAAACTATTCACCCAAAATAAGGTTTAGTGAGAAAAGTAAGCTGCTGGGAAATTGAAGTTACTTTTATCCAGATCCATTGTTATGGGTTTTCCATTTATATTGCTATAACATTAAAATGACTTATTATTGGTAGAATAAAAGGTTTCCTAAGCTATCTGATTTCTCCAAATATGATGTCCTAAGGCAGCAGAGAACAGAAATTTCAATTCTGGTATTTTGAGGATTTGTATGTATGAAGTGTAAGGCTGCTCACATGTTCTCAATTGTGTCCATAAATGATCACCTGGCATTTCAAGTTGTATATGATTTTTGCAATAGCATCAATACATGCAAGTGAATCTCAGCAAGCCTTTCTGAAGGTTTAAATTATAAATTCCTAATCAAGTGGTGTGTTTAAATTTGGCCTCTTTGGCCTGTAAAATTCTGCCAACACCTGGAGTTCCAGGTTATATGAGTGGTTTTCCAGTTAGAGGAATGATTCCAGGTCGCATGCACAGCATTTAGGAAGATCAATACATTTAGCTTGCAATACAAAAAATACTTAAAGATCCCTTAGGCTCATCAAAAAGCAAGTTAAAGTGAGGCCTCATCTACAAAGACACTGGCTATTGTTGAAATCTTACAATCCCAATGCAATTGAATCTGAAGAGTTATTTTTCCTGCCTTAACATGTCAGAAGGGAATAGAATTTGAAGCAACTTGATAATAGCAAAGAACACTTTCTTTTATTGCCTTTAAATATTAAAAAAAGCTAATAACAGCAGGAAAAAATAAAAATGGTACTAAAGCCAAACAAAGTAATTTCTCAGTGCAGTAACATGGCTCTTACAACAGTCCTTAGAGAAAAACTGGAAGCTCATTCGGGATGAAGGTCTTGCTGTGATGGATAAAAAACAAAGCCTCTTCCTGCCTGAAGATGAGAACCTACGGGAAAAAGGAGACTGGAGCCAGTTTACCTTATGGCAACAAGGTAAAACATTCTGTATTTCTCCTCTTACCTCAATTTCATGATCTCAGATTAACATAGTATAGTAAGGAGTACCAACACAGATTTTTCTAGAACTGTTTTTGTAATCAGTATGTATAGAGGAAGGGAACTGATAAAACAATGTTTGGGACCCCTGTGACAATGAACAGGAGTTCTTCATTCTAAACTATGTTGTCCCCAAATACCTCTAAGGGTCCCTTGAGTATGGTAACTGTTCAATGAGTGTATTCCTCTTCTGGCAAGGCTGCCAGCTCTTTACCTGGTAATGCATAGTACAGATGAGCTGAGGGAAGATGGGAACCTGGGAGAAGGTCCCCATCTTCCCCATCCTCAATTCTGTGTTGCCAGCTGGAGGAGATCTGTCATTCAGAAACAGTATGAGCAAAAGAATATAACTTTAATTTGCCTGCTGCCTTGCCCCTATGCTGTGCACTGGGAGGCCCAACTCTTGGAATGACCTTAAATTCTTATAAAACTCCACATATGAAAGGGTACTGTAAAATAAATTATTAAAATTAAATTTATATCAAAATATAATCTGGTGTTGAAATTTTATGATACTGGGGGCATTTAAAATCTTCTTTTTTCTTATGCATCCATGTTAGTGATTATACATTTTAAATAACACTTTTTTAAATGGTAGAAAGCCTGGTATTCACAAATAATGTAAAAGTAAAATGTGTAGGCTGCTATGATATTACAGCATGGAGGTACTTAGGTTGCACAGTCTGTAAAATGGGAATAGTAATATTTACTTGTCTCTCAGAGTCAGATCTTTGGCAGTTTTGTTGGTCTTATGCAAAGCAGAAAATGGAAATATTTTTTCATTGCTCTTACCAATGTTCTATCCCTTATATTCACTAGGGAGAAAAAATGAGAATGCTTGTAAAAGTGTTCCAAAAACATGTGCTTTATTGGAAAGGTTCCCGGAAGCTACTGGCTGCAGAAGAGGGCAGGTACCTGACAAACTTCTTCATTTTTGCAAATTCATAATGTTGGGAGCAGGTGATTTTGAGGAATAGAGGGACATGTACAGAGGAATGCACAATTTTGATATATTTAATGATGCCTCAAGTAGACAATAAACTTAACAATAAAGATATGCCCTATTTTAACTGTCAGTAAATACTGGACTCTTTAGTTGAGCCATTTTACCTTGTGTTTCCTGGGAGCTCATGGTAGGCAAATAGCTGTTTGCCATGGGTCAACCAGTAAGTAATGCCTTACTAAACCTCAGCCTGGAGTGACCTGATCTGACTCGTAGCCTAACTCTGCTTTCAGCAGGAGGTTGGATTAGGTCCTTTCTAATCTGAGCTTTTCTTTTTTTTCTGATCTGAACCCAGCTTCACATGACTAATTTGGTGAGCCAGATTCTCACTGTGATAAACTTCACCTGTCTACCCCAGCCTGGCTGCATTAGACAGAGGGAGAATCACCTTGTGGAAGCCAAATAGTGCTCCCACGTGCTTCTTTCCTGAAGGGGAAGGAAAGAAATTTTATATTCATGAGTGTGAGTGCCAACAAAATTAGTTTCAAATTTGTTTCAAGGGCCTATGATGACTATTCAGCTATCAGTTAATCTCACTTAATCATGCAGTAGACCTGTATGGGTCAATATACATGCAGTGGTTCTGTAGGACATGTTTTCATTTTTTTCCAAGTTATTATATTTTGTCTACAATGACTACGTGAGAATATCCTTCACATGGCAAAATTAAGGAAAAAGTTGAAAACCACAGTGCTAATGTAGGCCTAATTCAGATCCTTGAGTGTATGTGTTCATCTTTTTCACCAGTCCCTTGCTTTTGATGTGCAGAACTGCACTGGGTGGCTACTGCTCTGGGAATGAACAAAGCTGTTGTTGCAAAGGCAGGTTGTAGTGAATATAACTGATGAGAAGTCATCACACTCAATGTGGCTACAAGAAAACTGTTCTCAGTCGCATCTGTCCCTGAGAGCAGATTCTCTTTGAGAGCTGCTGTTTTGTTCTTCATTTCTTGGTGCCCTACGTGTTATCACCACGATATGGTTTGCAGAGATGTTGTACATTTACAGCTGTAGCTGTAGTCACATGTTTTGAACATATGAATGTAAAATAATCTGAAAAGTCATGCTCTAGAAGTCTAAAGTTTTACATCCACTATTATGAGATGCCTAGGGAAATTTTAGTTTTATGCTAACCATGACTCAGATGTTACTGCTAAAATAAAATATCAGCTGATCCCTATTCACATACAGAAGCACTGGCAAGCAATGGGAGCAAACACAATCAGGAAATAAGGCATTCTGTGGTGGATAGACTATTTGGATGCTTTGGTCACGTCATGTAGTGACAAAGATAAATGGAATGTAAAATAATCATCTACCTGCTCAGTGTTGCTGAGATACTGTATAGAACAATAGGAAATGATCAAAATTGTAGCATTCTTCTTAAAAATAGCAGAAAACTAAAAGTATCACAGGTAGTTTTAATTCTGGACATTTCTTACATTGCAGCCATAGTACAACTCATTGGTAGTTTAGAACAATTTACCTATAGCACTTGAGCACAGCAGGCAGATATAATTCACAGACATATCCAGACTGATCTGCATGGGCAGATAATGTACATGACAGCAATCAATCTTTAGTGCTGTCATATTAGCATTACAAAAATTGTTTAGCTCAGATATTAAAAAGTATCTTGCATCACCAGTTATTTGCATTGTGTTAGGGTCTAACACATCACAGTGTAGCAGAGTTGGGTGGGAGGATCTGTGTTCACCAGAGCCATTGGAGATCATCACTTGCTGTCATAAGAAACTGCCAATAAGCTGAAACCTCAGCTTAGGGGCACAAAAAAACCTCAGGCAAGAGGCACACACTGTCTTCTGCTGGTTTTGATAACAGTTGAAGAGCATGCAACACCTTAATATGTAAGATTTATCAAAACTACTCTGTCCCAACCAAATGTGCACTTTTCTCAGTTGAAAAGGTGTTTCTCATCACTGTCATGCATTATTCACACTTCCCTGTTCTTTCAGTTGTTGTAGAATGAATCAAAAAGATTGAGGTGAGAGGGATATCTGGAGATTATGTAGTCCAATTCCTTGCTCAAAGTTGATGAATTAGAGCAGGTTGCTGTGTCCAGCCAGGTTTTGAATGCCTCTGAGGACAGAGACTCTACAGCCTCTCTGGGCAACCTGTTCCTGTGTACAGTAAAAAAAGTGTTTCCTTATGCTTAAATGGCATTTCCTGTGTTTCAATCTGTGCCCATTGCCTCTTTCCCTGGATTCCATTGAGAAGAGCCTGCCTCTGCCTTCTCCACTCCTCTCATCAGGTATTTATATGCATTGATAAAATCCTTTCTTGACCTTTTTGCTCTCCAGGCTGAATGGTCCCAACTACCTCAGCTTCCCCTTGTATATTAGATTCTCCTATCCCTTAATCCCCTTTATACCCCTTCACCTGCTCCAGTGTGTCCACATCTCTCTCCCAGTAGGTAGCACAGAACTGGGTCCAACATTTAAGATGTCTCACCAGCTCTGAGGGGAAGAATAACCTCCCTCAACAGGCTGACAGACCTTTCCATAATGCAGCCCTGGAAGCTGTTGATGGCTTTGCTGCAATGCTGGCTCCTGTTTAATTTGGGCACTGTGAGGACATTTTGAGGGCCCCCCTTGAGGACCCCACGGTCTCTTTCTAGGAAGTTGCTTTCCAGACAGTTGTCCATCAGCCTGTATTGGTGCATGCCTCCCTAGTGCAGAATTTTATGCTTCTTTTTGTCAAGTATTTTAAGATTTTGCCTTTTCTCCATCCTGCCAAGGTCTTTAAAAAAAAAAGGAAAAAAAAAAAAAAAAAAAGAAAAAAAAAAGTAGTGTGTTGGCAATTCCTATTCAATTTTCTATCATCTGCAAACTTGCTGAGGGAAATGCACTCTGTCCCATCTTCTGAGTCACTGTGAATCTCCTAAACAGTGCTGGACCCAGTACTGAGCCCTGTGATGCACCTCTGAGGAGTGGCCTTCAGCTGGATTTTGTGCCTCTGATCATAACTTGTTGAGCCTGGCTTAAATGCCAGGCTTCAATCCTTTTCACTGGGAACTTATCTAGATTCTATTTCCTCACTTTGCTGATTAGGATGTTTATGGCAGACTGTTCAAAGATTTAACGTTGAGATAAACAATATCCACCGAACTAGAAAACTCACCATAAAAAGCTGGTATAGTACAGAATCCCCTTCATAAACCTATACTGGCTATATACCCAGGTACATTCTTTTCCTTCATTTTTTTGAAAGTTGTTTCCAGGATTACTTGCACCATCACCTTTCCAAGGGCTGAGGTGAGGCTGACTAGACAATAGCTCCTCAGACCTTCCTACTTGCCCTTCTTGAAGATAGGAACCTTTCCTTTCTACCAGGGGACGTCTGCAGGTGGCAGTGACCTTTCAAAGATTGCATGGATTATGTATGGATTCACATCAGACATTTCCCTCAGGACTCATGGGTGCATCCCATCAGGACCCATGAACCAGGTTGTTGAGTTTGTTTAAATGATCCCTAACCTGATCCACAGAAGATCAATCACCAGTGCTCCAGTCTATTTCACTGGTCTTGGGTGCCTGGCACTGCTGAAAGTCAGTCATACCAGTAACGACTGAGGCAAAGAAGACATGTAGTGCCTCAGCCTTTCCCATGACCTTTGTCATCAGATATCATCAGATATTCTGTCACATTTAGTAGCTGGGCATGTTTTCCCTAGACTTCCTTTTATTGCTGAGATATTTGTAGGAATCTCTCCCGTTACCCTTCAATTCTATCTCTAGATTCAGTGCCAGGAGAGCTTTGACTTTCCTAACCTCATCCCTGCCCATGCAGAGTGTCTCTGCAGTCTTCCTGGGTGACCTGACCCTGCTTCCACCTCCTGTATGCTTCCTTTTGTGTTTCATTTTTTCTGGGTTGCCTTGCTTCCTGCACATAGGAATTATTGAGTTTGGACAAGGTGCTACTTAAAAATCAACCAGCTCTCCTAGACCCCTCTTTTCTCTTGAGATTTTTCTCAGCAGGTCCATGAGTAAGACCAAATCTTCTCTCCTGAAGCTGTGGGTAGTAATTCTGCTTTTTTACATTTTCCATCCTCTCACAATCTTGAACTCCACCTTCCCATGGTTGCTATGCCCAAGGTTGACAGTCACGTCCAAAGACGTCATCTGAGCGGGGCTGGCCAGTCTGATGAACACAAGCCTTGTGTCTCCTATTGTCCATACTTTTAAATATTTCCATAGGAAATAAGGTATTTTTTCTGACTGTAGACAGAAGATAATTATTTTCAGCCTGAAATGTGAATACTGGTTATTTTAAGTAAAATTAAAACTATGTGCTTTCAGCCATAAACACACCCCTGGTTTCACACACACACCACAAGACATATGTTTTGTAGTATTAATTGCCTTTAGGATATGAGAGAGAATTGCTGCTGAAACTCAAACAAAAGATGACATTACACTTTTCACCCATCACCAAGGATGAGACTAAATGAAGTCCTAACTCCCAGCAGCATGGTTGTGAAACAGAATGTGTTGAAATATGTGCCTTTCTCTTCTTGCAGATCAAATATTCTATCATGCACCCAGGGACTCATGTCTGGCCCCACACAGGGCCCACCAATTGTCGGCTGAGGATGCATTTGGGCTTGGTGATCCCTAAGGAAGGCTGCAGAATACGGTGTGCCCAAGAGAACAGGTATGGTTGCAATACTGGGGTATTTTTTACTGTTTTGGGGAGAAGGGGGTTGCTTGCTTGCTTGGTTGTTTTTTTGGGTGTTTTTCCCCCCAGTTTTCTCAAGACTGAAGAAGGAATGGAACTGCATGTAGTTAAAAAAAAGGAGACTGTTTTGATGATGAGGATGTGTAATATATTTCATGAAACAAACAATTTGCACTCTGACTCATGGTACAAACGTATTGAGACAAACCTGCTCTTCTCTGCTATGGCATTGAAATAAGGGTTTGGTCAATGGGATCTCTATTTACTTTTACAATGCCACACTAATATTGCTGCCAAAAGAGTTCCTGTATTTATTTTGATTTTGGAGAGACATAGAATTTGTTTGGCAGAAGCTGACTACATTTTCACTGCTGTGACAGAATACCATGGTACTTCCAGCAGAAGCCTTCTTTTCAGCTAGTATTATTTCTTATAATTCAGTTAAAATATTCCAGTTGAATTTGATCTCAAGATGAAGACATCTCTGAAGTTTTAGGCCCAGTGGATTACTCAGGTGGCAATTTTATTTTAAAGTATGCTTTAAGGGAAGTTTCTTACCCGTGAAAAATTGTACTGAACTTCAAGTCAGTTTTATCTCTGTTTGCTCAGTCCAAAATGAAATTAAATGCAATAGCTTATACATTTACAATCAGGGCATATACTCCCCTTAGGAAGACAGGAAATTGTGCTAGGTTTTTTGTATTATATTATTAAACACAGAAAGAAAAATGTAGTGTTACCTATATTGCTTATTGCTTACAGGCTAAATTTACTGGGCTTAAGTGAAGTTCTCATGATGCTTAATATCTGTACATATATTTTGAAAGATTCTGCAGCTTCTGAGGGCAACAAGAGCTAATTTTGGTATTGAAAAATGAAATGCTACTCCTGTCTGCATGACTGCAAAGGAGGGTTTTTTTGATAACATTTGAAAACAACCACAACTGGAAATCTTTGGAATTGTTGAGGATAGAAGTATCCAGCTGTTAATAACCAAAAGCATTGTTACTATACTCTCCTGCCAACATGTAGCTGACAGTCAGTGTTACAACCTACACTGCCTATGTCTAGGGAGTGACGGACTTTTTTTCCAGCATTCCAATCCAATATCCAAAACAAGCTGGGTGGAGGGAGAGGTAGCTAATTGCCTTAGAGGACTGATATAGAGGCATGGAGTCTTTTCACTTTAGGACATTAATGTTAGTTCAGATTGGTAGCAACTGCATGGCATGACCATTAGGTGGCTGTTTAGTAGCTGGTATGAACAAAAAAGAGTGGTTTTGCTCTGCTGCCAAGAGAGCAGGTGTCCACAGCTCACCACCTGTTATAAGGCTGGCACCCTTCTTTGTCTTAACCTGGACAGAAGGGATAGTCCTGTGGAAAACGAACTTAACTACCTCCTTGGTAGCAATGCTCCCTCAAGAGCAGAAAAATACCTGTTGAATGTAGAGCATGTCAGCGTCCAGATTCCAGAACCTGAGTCAGTCTGATGCATCAGACATACTCATTTCATGTGTAAAACACTCACGAGCTGACTGCAACTTCTGCTGAAATGTGTTAAGATCAGCTGCTTACAGCAAGAGCTGTACATTCAGAAACAAGGGCAAGATTTTCCCTGGAAGCTCTCAAAGTATGTCTACTGCTGGCAGTGAAAGGGCTTTTATATATCCTTCCCTTATGGCAGAGGAGGTGTGTAGACTACTGGCAAAGGGAATGGTGCCAGGAGGAAGACTTAGCTTGATCAATTTCCATTCTTTTCCTCCTGGTGGTTCAGAGCAGTGGTAAACTGGTGGTTTCCAGCAGGAGAGCTGGCTGGAAGAGGAAGGTTAGCATCAAGCCTTCTCTGGCCTCCTGTGCCACCGCTGTGCGCGTGAGAGAGACAACAGAAACAATGAGATTTTCATGCTTGGTTACCTCTATGCCACCCAATGTGGTTGTTTAGAACTCATCATTTGATGGACAGGCAAATCAGCACTGTCCAGTGCTGTGGCTTACTCCTTCATTTGCAGAAGAGCTTTTTGCAGCTGTTTGGAGTTGGTGTACCCTGTGGTAGTGGGCCACAAAGATGATCAGAGGGCTGAAACACCTCTGCTATGAGGAAAGGCTGAGAGAGCTGGAGTTGTTTGACTTTGAGAAGAAAAGGGTCCAGAGAGACCTCATAATAGCCTTTAAGTACTTGAAGGGAGCTTTTAGGAAAGATTGGGACAGTATGTATCAGATAGGTTGCAACAGGACAGGGGTAATGCTTTTAAACTAAAAGAGGAATAGTTTAGATTATATATAAGGGAGAAGTGTTTTATAGAGAGAGTGGTGAGATGCTGGAACAGGTCACCCACAGGGATTATGTTCCATGCCTGGAAACATTCGAGGTCAGGCTGGACAAGGCTTTGAGCAGCCTGATTGAGTTGAAGATGTCCCTGCTCATTGCAGGTTATGCCTTTAAAGGTTCTTTCAACAAAAATTATTATAATTCTATGTTTCTTGTTTTCTATGGCATTGATAATTTTAGGTCACTTGGCTATTTTGAGGTCCCAGGTCTGTAAAGTGCAGAGTATTATGCATGGAAATGGTAGGTACATAATATCTAGTTATCATAATCGAACATCACTATCAAGGAAGGTAGCTTTATGTTGAAATTAAGGTGAAGCTAGAGCCATTATGCAGAAGCCAGTCTGGGATCTCACCTTTAACAGGTGACACTAGAGCTTATATGGAAAATTATCTGGAAACTAACCCAAAGTGGCTCAGCACCAGACCAGAACAATATGGTCCCTGTATTACTACTGAGAAGTGTTTTTCACACCATCAGGCTTCTAGAAAATATTTATTTGCATGCTAATAGTGGGGTTTGTAGCCTTTTCAAAAGGGGCTAATAGTCCTGTCAGCTTTATGACTTTTTCTTTGTTGTGCAAAACAGCCATTCCCATTATGATGCAAATGATAGAGCCTGGGTTTTAACCTCTGAAGCTACTTCATCTGGGTGCCTGGGTTTTTATTGTCCTTAACCGAGTTGCACTTTCAGGCTATTTAGAGCAGTTCTTTTCAGGCTTGATTTAATTTAAAAAAAAAAACAAAACAAAACAAAACAAAACTAGAAACAAAACAAAAAAAATTCAGAAAAACCCCAAACCAACTGAAAACCCAGCTACTTCCCCCAACAAGAAAAACAACACTAGATCTCAATTGCTTCAGACAAAGCAAAGCCAAATCCTCCAACCCTCCCCACCAAACACCCTTGGCACCGCCTCCCAAAAAAACCCTACTCAAAGCCACCCAAAATCAACCCCCACAAAAAACTCCAAAAATAAACCAACCCCAAAAAACCAAGCCAAACTAATTATACAACCCAAAGTTTGCTTGAATTTTTTTACCTCATTATAGCATTGCAAGTGGTTTACTCCCATGGACTTTAATAAAACCAATGTAACTTCAGTGCAGTACCAGTAACTCAGGGTCTGTGCAACATACAACATTTTCATTACCAGATAACTGATGTGGTAACAAAAAACCCCACATGATCATATTTAAAATCTGCAAAAGGCTGTTTATCTAGGCCTTTAAGGCATGTGCAAGTCAATGTGAATTCTTTTACTATGTTATGTTTTTTTAAAAATTTTGTTTAGCTGATTATTTCAATTGATGCTATTTCAATTTCTTTTCATAACCTTACAGCACAACCCCATAAATTTTGATGGTTACTTTTTTCTCTTGCTGAATTAAAAATATGGGGATGAATTGGAAGTATGAACCTAGTTTTCATCCTGTTTTTGAAAAAGAAAATAGTTTTCTCTGTAAATGAATACAGCTGAATGAGCTTAAGCAATGCATTTCCATCTTTGAGGGCAAGACCTTTGTTTCTTTACGATTGTTACTGTTCACAGTGCTTGCTTCCCTCTGAGGGCATCCATCCTCTTGGATTGCTTCAGCTCCTGAGGGATCCTGTTAAAAAAAGTGAGTGTGTGTTCATGGTAGAGTGGCTTTAGGAAGGAATGTTTCTTTGACCATTGTTACCTTGGCTGTTATTCATCCAGTCTCACCTGGAGGTGTATAATCAGGTGTTAAACTTCTCTTCAAAATTATGAATCCAGGTCTCAGCAGGCTGGAAAAACTGCCAGCTGAAACGTGATGAAGTTCAACAAAGGCAAAAGCAAAGTCCTGCAGCTGAGAACAGATAAACACCTTGCAGCTGTAGTGATTGGGTGATGACTGCCTGGAAAACAGCTCTGCAGAAAAGGGCTTAAGGAGCCTAGGGACCAAGTTGAACATGGCTTATAATCCTCTTTTGTATTGATGAAGTCTAGCTGTGTTAGTAAATTTGTAGGAAACAGTTTGAGCAGTACAATATTTTCCTCTCTCTTCTGCATTCAATACACTGCCTCTGGAGTATGGTGTCCAGTTTGGGATACTTCAGTACAAATAAAGTCATTGATAAACTAGAGGGACTCCAGTGGAGGATGGATAAGATGATTAGGAGGAGAAACTCAAGGAACTGGTTAGGAGTCTGGAAACCAGAAGGCTATAGAGTAGCCTAGTTACTCTCTTAAGTACTAATGGGTGGGTGACTGTGAGAAAGACAGAACTGGACTCTTTTCAGAGAGGTGCAGTTGTAGAATGAGAGATAATGAACACAAGTGACAGTGAAGGAACTTTCATCTAGGTAAAAGGGAGTTTTCACAGTAAGATGGTAGAGTAGACATGGTTGCAGATATCTCAGATATCTCAAGCTCTTCACTAGTAGATTTTTTAATATTTCATCTAACCTCAAAGTTGAATCTAACTTTGCAGTGAGTCCTTCTATGAGCAGAGGCTTGGATAACATGACCTTCCAAAGGCATTGTTCTGATTTTTAGAAAAAGTAAATTGATTTATAGTCATTTCTTTTTGAACTGTATGACCATGTTACTGTCATTCCCACATTTTCCATCACTTATGTACATCACTGATATATCTGATTAGAAGGGAAGTGGATTATCACACCAGTAGTATACTCACTCAAATAATTAAAAAGTATAATAAATAACATACACCATAAATGTCTGAATGTGTTTGTGAGCATAACTGTGCAGAATGAGGAGGAAGGATCCCTCAGTAATATGAAGGTCCATTAGACTGATCTTTCTGCAGTTTTTTTAAAGCTCCCATCTCCTTGGATTAGGCAGTGAAATCTTAACTATGCAATCTGTACTGTTAAAATATTTCTCATATGTCAAAGAGCATCTTCAGAACTGATCTATAGCTTACCCACACCATGGCACTTCAAATACTACACTAAAGTATGTTCTTTTTTGTTTTACAGAGACTGGGAAGAAGGGAAAGTCCTTATTTTTGATGACTCTTTTGAACATGAAGTATGGCAGGATGCTGAAAGTTATCGCCTTATATTCATTGTGGATGTGTGGCACCCTGAGTTAACAGCTCAACAGAGACGTACCCTTCCTGCTATTTAGGGGGTTTCCTCTGATATGTGGAGCAGAGGAGTATTAGCTCCTTTGGAGAATGAAAATAGGATTAATTTATCCAGCATACAAAGTATACAAGCATTTTAAGGGTAAGAAAAGATAAGGATGACATTCTACAATCAGAGTGGACTTGGTTTAAAAGAAAAAAGATGCCATGTTTTGTTTCATACTGATACAGCACTGATGTGTATTGTTTTTCTGGCTGCAAGTCAAAAAACACAAGTCTTGTCAGCCAAAAAGCAATAGATCTGGATTTTCAAACTGAGGAATATGCAGATGTTTTTGCCACGCCTGTATTTTCTTTACAAAGCCAGTCAATAAGTCACATGCTTGACTATATTCAGGCTCATGATTTATAATCTTACATCTAGGAAATACTTCCTGGCCTTCTGTATGGGAAGCAACATGTAAGATATTTGCAAATGTATGCACACAATCGACTTTGAAAATCAGTATGCAGGTGTAATATTAGCTGCTTTAGGCATAGAACATGTCCCTATGTTATCACTGTAGATAATGTGAATGAGTTATGTGTGTTTTGTACTTTTTCTACCTGAGTAACTGTATTTTTCTAGCTTAATTATGAACAAATCTTCTTTAATTAACCACTATTTTTAAAAAAGGTGATATATATACAAATGCCTCTCTACCTATCGGCAGAAGGAAAACACTATATATGAACAAATTTAATTTTTGCCAATTGTCGCCTTCTTTTGCCTTCCTGCAAATGTTAACAGAAACTTGCATAATAGCTGCCTAGTGAAGCTTTTTTCTTTTAAAACAGAATAATTCTCTTAGTCAGCAGGTGACCTTCAGTTTGATAATGTGATTCTGGAAAATGTTGAGCAAATCTGACATTTTTAGGCTCAGATCTTGAAGTACTTGACTGTTCTTAGGATTATATGGTGAGCTGCTATTTCTCCTATAATTACAAAAGCTTCTGGTGTAATAGCCTTTCTCTATCCACTGAGGGTCTGAGGCCCCTCCTTCCAGGGGCTCCTCCTTGGCTGTCCTTGGGTGATCACTCAGAATAAAAAAAATATATGAAGAATTTCTTGTGCTTTGGGCAGAAGGACAAGGTCTAACTTGGCTTCCTGCCAGAATGCAGAGCAGATGAAGACCTTCCAGTTATTACCTTGTATTAACTTCCACTGCTAGCATCCTATAGAGAAATAGAATGAGCCTCTAATTGACTTAATGGTGTTTTCCTTGTCTTGAAATGTGTGACATAATACTGAAGTAATCTGATCCCAGTACTGTTTACAGTGTACTCTGTATGTGCCATACAGAATTTACTATACAATAGAAAGGCTTATTTCCAAGAAAGAAAACTAGTTTAGTGTTTAAGCAGTTGGCAGATCTTTTGAGTCTGTTTAATGAGAGATGGAGTGTGCAGAACCCTCCACTTTTAACTTCTAAGAACACTAACAGGAGAGAGAGCAGAGATTGTGCTGCTGATGTTTTTGGCTGGCTTTTATCTCCTCACCTGCTGCACCAGCTGGGTGCAGACAGGTGTGCTAGGATGTTCTGGGCATCATTACTGAGGGTTGTGAGTGACAAACACTAAGCAAGGAGGCACTGAGATTACTTATTTTTTGCAGCTTTGACTTTCTTGTCCAAAAGACACAGAAGAGTTTTTATTTGTGTAGTACTCAGTGGTTTATTACTGCAGAATCTACATCATGGCATTGGAGTATCCTGACCTGAATGTCCTATTAGCTGAAGCAGACTGCAGATAAGAGCTTTGCATTCCCATAAACTGAATGCTTTTCAGGTACTCATATTTTACTAGGTCATTAAATCTTGTAATGCCATATAACACATGGTGACTGCACCATAAATTAGTGTAAACAGTTTCTGGAAGTGTGCACTTTAATTTCCTTTTCTGAATATTAAACTGATAAACCCTCTCTTATCAAAAGTCACTTTTAGACAGCTAAGATAATTAGATTTTAACATGTTGTCCATATCAAAAATAATCATGAAACTATACACAATGTTCAAGAAAGTAACCGTTCTCAGTTAATAATAATGAAAATCTGTAAAGATTTATAAGTTTTGCATAATATAAAAATACTTTTGGAGATCATTTGGAGAATCATGCAAAACTGGAAATAAGGTACTTATTGTGGGGAGTAAAAGAGTAAAAATGTTTTTTAAACATCCTATTAGCTGTCAAGTTAAAGCCTATATTTTATATCTTTTTGAAGTGATCAAGCAGTACAAATTATAAGGTAATTCTCTTGAAATAAAGACAGCGTGTGTAAATAAAAAAATCAAGAACTTTTTAAACAAAAATTGATGCTTTAGGAATATTTTTCTTAATGTTGCATTTTATCTTCTGTAGCTCAGAGTAAATGCTAAAGGAGTGGTAAAAGCTTTGGAGCTTTATTTATGAAGATCCATGCCATCCTTCGAATTATTTCTTTGTTCCTATTTTAGGCTCATACTTTACCTTGTCCAATTGCAATTGGTGAATAGATAAAATTGGCAAATAGATAAAAGTAATCTCCCCAAGATGCATGTGTACCAGAGCAGCACTCTTTATTAGATTGTGTAGTGATACATTGGCCTTTTAAAAATCTTAAGTGCCTCAAATAAGACAAGGTGTTTCTGCAACGCTGCAGGGAATCTATTCTATGCCCACCTGTCAGGGAGCAAAGAGTGGATAATTTTGTTAGGTACAGTTACTGGATAAGTACATATCCTCTGTACGTGGGGAGGATACATAGAGCAGAAATTCTGCAGGGAATTACTGGCATATTGTTTTAGGTGTTCCTGTTTGCCAAGTGGTATTCTGTCTTGGAAAAGTTTTCAGTATTGGAAATGCCAAGGGAAGAAGTGAAGGGAAGTGGTTTCTTTTCAATGGGAATCCATTGCAATTTGCCTTTTTTTTTTTTAAGATTTATTTACAGGAGGAAATGGCAGAAAAGAACAATATAGTTTGTAACACAGTATGTACTTATCACCATGTTCCTCCCTGCCTGTTGTTATCTTGCTTACACAGAATCTGTGTAAGAGGCTACAGTTAAATGCAGGCTTCATACAGTTATATACAAAGCATCATATGTATTTATTAATATCACAGTTAAAGAAAGTAAGTCATTAATCCTTTGCGAGGTTTGATCCTCAAGGACTAGATTTCAGTGTAATTTGCACTTCTTGGGCAGGACAAGACCCACTTTAATGAACAGTGATTGTAACAGATCATCACAAAGATTCAGTGGCAGTGGGTGTAAGAATATTAACAGAGAAAAATCACAAACCAAAGTATTTCTTCCTCAATGCTGCAGTATAATAGCAAATGTCTGTCTTTTTTTGTCTCTTTGGGCTTTTACTTTCTGCTTTAGTCTCTGTGAGCCCAGGGAAGAGAAAGGAGATGCTACCAGACCTTGACATCCTTGTTTCCTGAAATAGGTGATGATGATGTCATGTGGAGGAGGATGGAAGACACCCCAAAGATAAAAGGGCTCAGTCATCCTATTTTTTTAATGTTCCTGCAAGCTTCTGCTTCTTTTTCTGCCTCCTGTGTTGCCTTGCTGGGACCATCCACAGCCTTAAAGGCTGGCTCTCTACCATGGAGGCCAGGCTCTATATCAATGACATGTTGCTGCATAAAAGGTTAGTCTGAGTGAGATTATTCTGTACAAAAACTCGTGGGTAAATCCCAGATGTGTTGATAGGATCTGGCAGGATGGCCTTTCTGCCCTGTGCAGGCATTAGATGTTGTAGATAAAGGCAGTATTTTGTTAGTCCATCTGTTAGGGCTGGCCATGTCCACTTGAACTGTGTCATCACTTCAGCCTAACACTTGAGAATTCAGTGGTTGTTCCAGTGCACATTAAAAACCCTTGTTCCCATTATCATCTCATTTTGTATGGATGGTTTACACTGCTACCTTTGATATATTGTTTCCTGCTTGTTCTAGTAAATTGTCAATGTATGGCAATTTAATTGAACATTTAAAGTGTGTACAGTGATTGTAGCTGTTTTAGGAAATAAAGTCACTGCACATGCAATTTGATAACGATTGTTGTTTTATTTCTTTAATCTGGTTTCTGTTTCAATGAAGTAATGGTACTCTCTTTGCAGCTAGAGCAAACAGAGATATAACAAACTGATCTTTGGCATTTCAGTTCTTCCATTCTTCAACATTTCCTTCTAGCAGAAATTTGTACTGAATAATTAATTCTAAGTTTTCCTTTTTCATTTTAACTATGGCCTTCATCTGCAATCAGGATACCTTTCTGGCTACAGTTTTCCCTGACTGCAAGAGGGAAGGGAGTAAATGGCTCTGCAGAGATTTCATTTGCTGTTGTGACCTAAAGGAAACAATCTGGATTGAACCATTAATCACTGCTGAATTTGTCCAGTGTATCTCCCTAGAACCACCCCCTTCACATGTGCACTCATATGCACATGCACGTGTCTTATAGGCTCCTAAGTTGCCTGTGGAAATTGTAATCATTATTAAAATAAAATAATTGCATTTCAAATTGTGTGGTTCTGCTGCTCACACAGCTCATTCCACTTAGCTGGCAGTTTTAGAAGGGCTTCAAAAGTTAAGAGCAATTTTTTCTAAATACTGAAATGTGACCCCCATATAAGCTGCATGGATGAGGCAGTCACAAAGTGTCATGTTGAATGGCATTATGCTGGCACTGGGGTTGTTTTTTAAATGCAAAAAACTTCTGTGAAACTCAAGTACTCTATAGATGCTGATTATTCTGCCCTCTAACCCAGATTACACTTGCTGATTACAGCATAAAGTTTAAATTTGAGATGCTTTTCTTTAAAACTCTTGCAACCTTCACTCCTATAAAATGAACATCCCTGATGGAGTCTTCAGGAACACTATTAACACACCCTGGTTTTTCTTTAAACAGAGAATGCAGTCCCACCATTTCCAATATTTTAATGTCACAAGTCAGAGGAAAAAGAAAAGAAATCCAATTCTGTGTATGTGGACGGAGTGCTGTGTCAGTGGAAGTGTCTCAGTTCCTGTTCAGCGCTGGCCGCGGGGACAGATGGCTGGTGACAGTTGTTGCTTGGTCAGGAAACACGAAGGGCTTGTTGTCAAGCGGAACGCGTGTGTGCGTGCGTGTGCCTGGGTGTGCTGTGCTCCGTGGGGTTCTGCTATGGTGGAATTCTGTTCATGGATCTCCGTGGGGCTTGTGAGAGCTCAGTCCAGAGCCAGCAGCGGCTGGGTGTTCTCACTTTCCCCCTGGTCTTCGTGTTTCAGTGTGCCAGCTTCCACCACAGACTGGGACCTGAATGCAGAAAAACACACATGATAGCAATGACTGCTGCAGAAGCACCCACCTCCCTGGGCTCCCTGTGCTTCTTTTTGTGATCTTGGCTTTAGTCCATTTTCATCTTTATGGCTTTTTAATTCTTTTCTGTGAAAAGCATAGGGGATTTGGGAAACACTCCTTTAAATACAACCAGAGAAGGGAGTTGTTGAAGATCTCAAATGCTTTCAAAATATTTAGTCCTTACCTACTATCCCTAGTGCTGAATGTGCTCAGCAACTTAAAGACCTGGTCCTGCAATACCGTGAGGTCTGTTGGTGTTCAGTGTCTTCCTAGGCAAAGCTACACATAACAGCTGCTCACTGGAAAGCAAAGTCATTTGCACAGGCACTTGCAGGAGTGAGTCACAGCTTGTGCTTATTGCAAATCTTGAGAAACAAAAGTAAATCACATTTTCCTGATGAAGGGCTTTATGGGACAGAGCTTCCCAAGACCAATAAAGAAGACAGAGTTAATATGATAATGAGGCAGCTTCTGGTGTGCCCAGTCCTGCAGTTTATCTCCCTGTCTACACCCTTGAAGGATAACTTTACTCAGGGTTAAAATTAATTTCTGTCTTCAAGTTGGGAAACATAGTTTATACTTCGTTGTTAATGGATTTTAAAAATTCCAACATGGAAAAAATTAGTAAACACTAGAGAAAGAGGAGCCTCAAGATTTCTTGCAGTAACAAAAGCTGAATGGGATCCAAACTGCGGGAAAAGTCAAAACTATTTAATTTTCTGAGGTCTGTTGTCGGAGCCCCAGCCTGGTTCATGGGTTCCGTGTGGTGGTAAAATCTCTCCTCCAACCCGTGCTTCCAAAGAAAACTCAGCAGCCTCTTGTTGTTCGGTCTCAAGGCAGTTTATTGAGAGTTATCTAAAAGATTGTCTTCTCAGGCTGCGGCTGTTTGGTCAGCAGCCCAGGCAGATGCACACACACACCCTGACATCCTCTCTGTCTGCTGTCTTCTTCTTCTCTCCCCCTGCCCAGGGCTGCTGCTATCTTTTATATGATATATTACGTGTTCCATGTTTACAGTTTTCCCCCAACACCTACTACCTATATTAAATGGTGCTCTTCTATTCTAAACGAATCCATAAGTGCCAACATCACCAAGAACATGGAGGTAAGGAAGAAGAAAGAGGAGGAACAGGACCAGCCCACATTCCTCCATCTTAAAACCTGTGACCCCCATGTACAAAGTAAAAACCCCCCTGTACAGGTGTTAAAACCCCCTTGTACTAAAAAATTCTTCCCTCTACTTTGTAACTACTTCTACTATAATATCTAAACTTTTGTGACTTCTTGTTCTTCCTGCAAGGCTGGTAAAACATTCCATGGCTCAAACTCAAAATCACAGCTCTTTCCAGCTGCCTGCCAGGGTCTCAAATGCCTCTGACCAGGGTTTGGAACCTCCAAAATTGTCTGAGGGACATTTTGAGTTTCAACAGTCTGTGTGCTGTAATGTTTGCTTGCTGAGCTATGGAAGGAGGATCTGATGAATTTACTGTTACAGAGCTTTGTTATCTTCCATTTTCTCTGTTTTGGGCTAGGAGCTGCCTCCCAGTTTGGAGGAGACAGTGAGCTTCAGAGCAAGATCTCTGAGTGAATTTGGAAATTTTAGAATGGGAACATTTTCATAAGTGGGGATAGAGTCATCCAGACCAGGCATTCACATAGTGCATAGTATTGTTATAAAGACCCAGTTTTCCCATAGTTAGCTTTTAGAATTAGGAGTAGCTAGTAGCTGTCATTCCATACATGATGCATTTGTAGTTCCCAATTGTTCATTTATGCTTTAGCTATTTTGTGAGATTAGATGTCACCTCTCCTTTGATAAGAATCCTTAATAAATTACATCCTTTGGTACTGCAGGACTGAATACCGTGACTGTGAATAACTTGTATGATAATTATTTCTATTCTTATGCTGGAGCTTTCATTAAAGCATAATAAAAAATTTTCATTAAAAAAAAATCTCCAAAGAAAGATAACAAAAGCTGGATGCTCAATGGGAAGACTTTATGCCATAATTTTCAAAGAAATTATGTTTGCCCAAAAATTTTCACTGCGTATTTTTTACAGCTATGTGGCATGCATAGTGATTTATGATTGCAATTTAATATAGAAAAGCCACTGATTTGGGAGATTACGTTAAATGTTAATATTTCTAGAATGAGGCAGCAAAAATAATCATGTGGCTTTCAAACTGTTAAAGAATGGATTGAAATAGCAACATCATCAAGTTTATATTTTCTTTTTGGCTACCAGATTAAATTATTAATTAATTGTACCTGATTAATACTCATCACCAGTGTATTGTTTCTGTCTGACCCACTGCCCTTCAATGGATATAAAAAGTTGTGTATCCTTTGCAGCATTATCCAGCACACAGCTGAAAGTGTTTGTTCTAAGTCAACTCTGAAAATTATGAAAATTTTTCCTTTAATAATCACTGCTGATCATCTCCACTGTCCTCTTATTACACACTCAAAAATTCTTGCATTCTGTAACAGCAAGATATCAGGTTCTCCACCATACTGTGCTTGGATGCACACCACCTTGGGAGCAGTATAATCTCAAATTCTTTGTTCAAGTCCTATGCTGTTTCTTTTTACACAGTCACAAAACATCCAGAGCACTGAGTAAATGTGTTGTAACTTACATGACCTCCAAATTCCAAAAGCTAATGATTCAAATGCTAATCCCAGCCCTTCTGAATAATGTGGAAAGGGATACAACTGCAATTTTGTATCTACCAAGCTCTGCAGCAACAATTTCGTTTCTGCTAAAAGCTGCTTAGATTACTCTCCTAAAATAAGCAATTCTAATATCTATCTGTAGGGCACAGTCATGGTTTGAACAATCATTGGTATTTTCTAAGACACCACAAAAAATTATTTGTGTTTGGATTTCCATTTTCCAAATACATCAGGGGTTTCTTTGCTGAAAAGTGTTTCCAGTTTTGTTTTTAACTTTTTATGTAGAAAATAAAAAAATCAGCCAATTCTGAAAAAGATTCAAAATTTTTTGTTTCATATTCTTTGATTATGGTAAATATTAAAAATGTGGATGGTCGGGTAAGGATTTTGATGATATGAGTCAATGCAGGTCACAATATAATGTAATAACTTAGCATAAGATATATATTTCACTGGCCTAAAACATCCTAAATGCATTCTATAGCTATACTTTATTTGTGACAGAGAAAAGAGGATTTGCAGTAGGCCACTGTTGCAGAAAGCATTTTCAACTGAGCAGTAACTGTAGAATCAGAATCACAGAATGTGCTGAGTCAGAAGAGACCCATCAGGACCATCGAGTCCAGCTCCTGGCCCTGCACAGCACCATCCCCAGTCACACCCTGTGCCTGAGAGCATTGTCCAAATGCTTCTTGAACTTTGTCTGGTTGGTGCTGTGACCACTTCCCTGGGGAGCCTGTTCAAGTGCCAAACACAGTCTGAATGAAAAATCTTTTCCTGATATCCAAAATAAACCTCCCCAGACACAACTTCATGCCATTTCCTCAGATCCTGTCACTGTTTAGGAGAGTAAAGATATCAGTACCTGCCCTTCCACTTCCCCTCATAAGGATGCTGCAGACCACAATAATGTGTCCCCATCTCCTCCAGGCTGAAAAAGCAAGTGACCTCAACTGGTCCTCATGTGGCTTCCTCTCCTGTCCCTTCACCATCCTCATTCCTTCTTTGGACAGTCATTAATTGCTTAATAGCTTTATATTATGGCACCAAAACTGCACACAGCACTCAAGGTGAGGCTGCCCCAGGGCAGAGCAGAGCAGGACAATCCCCTCCCTTGCCCGGCTGTGATGCTGTGCCTGATGCCCTCCAGGACAGGGTTGGCCCTCCTGGCTGCCAGGGCACCACTGACTCACGTTCAGCTTGCCTTCAACCAGGACCCCCAGGTCAAGTTAAGGGTTAGCTGGGAGTTGATCATTCTCACAGTCATGGTCCTTCAGCTCTGGGTATTGAGATCCTCTGTATTTTTTAATTGTAGAAATTAAAACAAATACTATTTGGAAGAAGTGCCCTATCTATTGGCTTTTTTGTATCTAGCACATATGTTTAGTTCAAGGAAAGCAGTCACATCCTAGGAATGTGCAAGTTTACACATTTTTAGGGGGCTTTGGGGGTTTTGTATGCTGGCTGTAGCACTGAGCCTAGGACTAAGACTAGTTCTTATTTTAAAAGTACTGCCACCTGTTTTAGCTTCATTAACATTTTATTCAGAGGACTTCACAACTATATTTCACATTTTTAATACAACCTACTCAAGGTTCTTGAAAAGGTGTGTGTGTATCTAATTGCACCTCAACTTACTGAAAAAGAAATTGCAGTAAGACACTGAAGTACCTTTGCCCTAATCAGTCTTTGTAAATTGCAACCATCTTTGCATTCAAGTACCCTCTTGCACTACAATCTAAGCCATTTTGATTTAAAATGGTAAATGAGCAGTACAAAACTTCACTTGTTTGGCAAGCAGGGGTTAAGCTTTGGCTCTGTCAATGCAGTGGACACTGTTCTGGTGGTATCCCATGGCCAGCAGAAGTTTTTCATGGCACTAGACAAAAGCCTTTCTGTTTTAGTGTCTTTCCATATCAATATGTTCTGATGGGATGGAGTAGTAGAACATGAAAGAATCATCTCAGTGACAGAAAAGGCAAGAGACATAGATGAAAATACAGGAATTTCCATTTTTTACTGGTGAATATTTAAACACTGAAACAAATTGCTCAGAGAGGTTGTGGAGTCTTCATGCTTAGAGGTATCCAAAATCCATATGGACACAATCCTGGACAACCTGCTGTAGCTGACCCTGCACTGATCAGGGGACTGGGTAAAAGATCTCCAGAGGTTTCTTGCTCAACCTTTTTGTGATTTTGTGATCCCAGAGAAATACCAACTTTTCTGAACCATCCCAATTCATCTCTCTCTATCCTGACAGGACAACTATTTT